GTTGTTTCCTATTATTTATATTTTATCGGACATTAATGAGTAATTACGTTAGGTATCTTAAATTTAGAAAATTAATTAAAGCTAAACAGTGCTAAACATTTTATTAATACATATTTAATAGTAACAAGTTAAAAATTTAATATAATATTACAATACACTTTGTTTTAAAAATTTGAGATTTAAATAATATTTTTTTCTTTACAAATAAGTGCCATCAAATTAAAAATTATTTTAATTGTTATGATATTATTTTTTTGCCATTTTTTAATATTAATTTCATTCTTTTCATTCTTCGTTATATTTATGTATAAGTGAGGTACTTAATTCCTAGACATTTATAAATCTTCAAAATTATTTTTTCCAAATGTATTTACTTATTATGATACTTATAGCCAATTTAATCTGCTGAGAAAAATTAATATATTATTAAATGATTAACAAACAAAAAAAAACCTTTCTTAATTTATGTATTATATTATAAGATTAATTAATAAGTAAAAAATGTAATATACACTACAATACTATTAATACTGGCATAATTATGTATGTTTAATAAATACATCAGTTTTTACCATAGAAACATTACTAATGGCGAATAGAATCTCCTGCACGCAAATGTTGGACAAAATCTATTTTATATGGGTGCATTTTGTGTTTTTTTAGAATTTTTTGGACATAACCATATGAAACTCCAATTTCGCGAGCAACGTGCCTAATGACGAACGTGGATTAGTTCTTATGTATGCTAGTACCTGTAGTTCTGTATCGTCATCAAACATATTTGCTTTATGTCTTTGTTGATTCATTTGTCTGCCAGGAAATCTTCCTTCCTGATTTAACCCTTGTAAAAGTCGTAAAACATAATTAAATGGTGGATGGTATCTTTCTGGGTATCGTTCGGCATATGTCGCAGCGGCTAGGTGTATATTACGCCGACATTCACCATAAATTAAAACCAACTCAACTTTTTCAGTGTTATTCATATTTAAAAATGTATTATTTATAAGAGTACTTAATAACTAGATATACACAGGTAACGCTCACACTTCAGTACAGGTCTAGTTACAGAATAAAAGTAAAATTATATTTTTCATCAAACTAAATACCTTAATAGTTACATTATCTGATTATCTTATCGTATTTTGAGCTATTGTAAAATAAAACAAAATTCCACTACAAAAATAGTTAAAATTGTAATCGTATTATAGGAGTTTACTAAACAAATATTATCACATACTCTAGATATTGACCAACAGTATTATTAAATTATTATTTGTAAACAAATAAAGTAAATTAAACATTTATTTGGCACTTATTTTATTATTTCCAGTGGTTATAAATAAAAATTTCATTAAATACGAATTATGCATAAATCCAAATTTTGACTTACTCTAACTTGGTCAGTTTTGAAAATAGAAAAAAACTGTAAATACAAAAAATGCTCAAAAAAAAATAATCTATCCGAATATGTAGAAAAAAAATAGTGTTTCTATTTAAAAAAATGTAAGTTGTATTGCGCATGCGCACACCAAAAGTGTTAATAATTTGAAATTTATCCAAAAATATGTATTTAGGTACTCCCTATCACCTCCCGAAAACGCCAGTTCAATACAAGGTCATGCACCTGAGATATTTAGTGTTACTATAAATCGTGATCACACTGTATAACAAATTAATAACCATTATTCATTCTACAACTTTATATTAATATATAATTGAGTTATGTTTCAAGAAATCCACCTAATATTTAAAATTTAGGTACTGATTTATTTTACTTTTTTCAAATGTTTATAAATTATACCAAAATCATTTCGTAAATAAGAATTTAAATAATAGGCAATACCAATGGTATAAATAATATTATATTAACTAGTGTGTTAGTTGGTTTCGATTTTTAAAATAATTTCAAGGTTTAATTTTTGTAATACACGCAAAGCAACAGACCAACAGATAAAAACGTACACGATACACACAACACATATGAGTTAGTTAAACTACCAGCTATCTAAAGGTCATGGAGCCGACCTCGACACCTCCGTGTCGTTTCAAAAGATAAAAAAAGACAATTCCCCTGTTGTTTCTGATAGTTTTTCATATTTACGTTATTGAATTCAACTTGAATAATAAGTACACCACTACAACAATACAACTTCTGATAAATCTAAAAGTATCTGGGTATAGGTCATTTGATTTAGTTACCTACAATATATTGTAGCAAAAAACCATTAAATAGATTTTAAGAAAAAATGTTGTCATCAAACAATAATATCATAGCTGTAATACGATTTAATATATCTACACTTATAATTAATTTTAACATATTATATACTAAACAATAGTAATCTTACAAAGGTTATTAGAAGGTATTATTTTTTTTTTTTTTGTTAGTATTTAATAATTATAGGTAAGTAACAATTTATAAATTATTTAGGATCTAACCTTCTAAGTATTTATGATACAGTTTAATTTGTAATTCTGCTATTATAATATAAACATTTTAAATTGATAGGTATAATTTAAATGTTATAATCTAATATCTAAATTAATTTTTTTTTTTTATCTTTACATTAGTTTGTGTTAAATATTCTTGATAAGACATACTAAGATTGACAATAAAAGTTAACATAATTTTAATTGAAATAATTTAGACTTATACGGTTTCAAGATTTAAAATTAATTTAACGAATTATAATGGAATACTACTGATATTAAATGATTGAATATTTTTTTAATTTAAAAAATTAAAACGCTGGCATAAAATTATTTAAAACTTGAGACATTGGAACTTATTAGCGTTTAACTTAGTTTTGTTAGAATTCAAATTTGTACATATAGTGGCGTATTTACGGAGGGGGTGTCCAGGGTTATTGCACCCTCCCAGAGCCTCTCCAAAAAATAAAAAATAAACTAAAATTCTTACATATTTGCAGAATTGGCTATGTTAAACATTTGCAGGGAAGTTGAAATTACTGTTGATGAAGTATTAGAGGAGTTGGCCAAAAAATCGAGACAACTGGAATTTATTTTATAACAATACTTTATAATATTTAATGCTAAATACAATATATAGGTATATATATATTACATAAGACTATACGATTATTACATTATATATTTAGTTCAAATTCCTCCAAAAACTGCATAAGGACGTAACTATTACAATATAATATATAGTTTATATTAATTATGTATAAATTATGAACCCCCCCCCCCCATCAGAAAAAATTTAAAATACGCCACTGTGTACATAGTTACAATGCAATTGTTGTCATCTATATAGGAATCTGATTTTACCGAAAATTAATAGCTTTATAAATATAAATTTGCTTAATAATAAAATTACTTTGGATACATTTTTCTTAGGACAAAGAAAAGATTCAGCAATTAAAAATTAAAAGATAGTGTTATTCTGTTGTTACTTTTACTGGATTTTACTCATATGGATTAAGCGAAAACTTAATTTGAAATATACATTATAATAATATATTTAACACCATTGATGTTTATTATAATTTGTAATACAGTAATATATGATTGATTTTTCATTCTAGAGCAATATGTTAAATTTAAGGTATAAAAATAAAGTTTTTTTAAGTAAATTAGTATAGTAGGTAGGTACATAATTCATAATTTTGATGTATTATTATTTATTAGTTATTCATTTTATATTTTATTATAAAACTGGTCTTACTTTACACATTTAATAATAATCCATGTTAAGCATTTATTCATTTATACATTAATTTACCAGTATTAACTATTAACTAATTTTATTTTACTTTTTATTATTTTATTAATTATTATTTTTAATTTTACTTTTAATCTTAAATTATTTATTTATTTAAAAAAAAAATATACCTAACACTTAATTTTATAAAAATGGTTTAGGTGAAAATTAAAAAGTTGATAAATAATAAGATAATTTAAAAACTAAATTATTATTATAAAATTAAATTTAGTCCATAACCTATACATTTTTCTTTAATTTACACTGTAAATCTAAGTCTAAAAGTTGGTATTTTAATGCTCAAAAAAATAGCAAAAAATGCGTAAAAATATATATTCAGTAATTATAAAAATAATATTATAAAAATCATGTTACCATACATATTTAATTATATTTATTTAACGTAAAAATAACAAAATAAGTACTAATTTTTTTTTATATTTACATTATATTTAACTTTATTGAAATTTATTTCATAACTTACTTGTATGATCGTCGTTGGACCCTTATAAATAAATAAAAAATTTTCAACTTTATTAATTTTATTCTATTTTTGATAAAATAGATACATGGGTCAATATTCTCGTATTTATAAGTTCATCAATTTAGTAGATTACATACAAAACGTGCAAGTTTTGGGCGAACAAATTCCGAAAAGCATAATCAAATACTATAAAATCTTAAAAATGCTCTAAAAAAAGCAAAATATACCTAAAAAAAAAAAATACCTAACAAAATAAAAATTACAATAGTCAGTATAACCTGAAACACATTTTTTTTTTATGAATCTATGTATTGGAACATCAGAAAATAAGATGCATTTATATCAAAATGCCAAATTAGCCCTAGTGATAACTAATACAAGTATACAAGTAAAGACTGAAATTTTTATTATTTTATTCTTCGAAAAAAACATAGATGAAATATGCTAACAACTTAATTATGGTTTTATAAAATACTATCATGTTTGTTATTTTAAGTGTATAATTTTTAGTTACTTTTAATTAACTTCACTTTTAATTTAGCATTCGAGAATATATATATATATATTATTCCTAAAATGAGTTATATTAAATTTTCTACCGGATAAAAATGTTATAGATATTTACAATAACACATTAATACCACAAGTATAAGTCAATTACAAAATAAATTTAATTTACCTATATATTTTAAATACATTGTGAAGTACTTATAATATATCATTCGAATTATCTCTAATAAAAAAATACAAGCGTTTAACGTATTCATTTAATATTTTTAATAGACTTACCTATTTATTTTAGTAACGATTTTTCAGTGCAGCAATTCACTAAACATGTATAAAAATATTACCTAAACTTATTGAAGACGTTAAAAACACAATTCATAAAATGCACATAAATTACACCGTTAGGAGTCTTAGAAATCACTTTCCGACTGCCACGAGGCCTCGGCTAACACTGAAATGTTTACTGTTGGCTGGTCGGCAATATTATACAATCTAACAGTCACTACCTCTCCTAATACATGAACTTCAATATAGAAGTGTGGCTGACCTTGTAAACTGCTTTTAACCAATCTGACTCCGTGGCATTAGGTGAGATGTTTCCACTTTTTTCATGTTTTTGAATCTTTTTTTTATGTAAGTATATAATTATATAGGTTTTAAGGTTCTTTTATTGTAAATTATATATTGTAAATTATAATGTTTACAATTTATACAGTTATTAAGTAATATTGCTCAATAAATACACACGAATACATTAAATTCTTTAACGTTTAATAAATATATAAAACATAATAACCTCATATTTTTTAGTTCTCAAAGATAAAAAAAACCGTGTTTAGAGTTTATTGGAAAAACCAATATAATTCAAACATAATAATAAAAATTTACAAAAATAAAATAATTTTAATCTAAGGATTAACAATTGTAAAATAAAATATTACGATTAACAATATATATATATAAAACATTTGAGAAAATATACTATTGAATAAAATAACTATGAATTTTAAATAATAATAAGATAAATATAATTAAATGAGCATAGGTTATAATATAACGCAGTGATGTACAACTTTCTTTGATCCACGATTCCCAAATTAATTAATTTCGATGAAGCTCCCTACGTATAATAATATACATAGTATATACATTTTTAATTTGGTGTTAAATAAATGGCGACTACCTTTTAAAATGTTGTGACGCTTAGGTTGCATACCACTGATATATAAAGTATCGCAAAAACTAGACAATACACTCATTATAAAGGCATATAATATTGTGATTATCAAGTTGACAAAATATTTTATTTAAATAATATCATAAATGGACAATTGTATCAATTTACTACCCACCTGTTCTGTAGATTATAATCACTGGAATGTTGCTTGTTTCATTCTACTGTCCATACAAATTGTACATGTTGTTTCTAATCCATCCATAGATATACATTCTTCGTGAAAGACATGTTGGCAGTAAAATATTAAAGCTTTACCCAATCGATCTTGGTCGATGATGCATTTTTGACAAGCGCTACATACATGTTGTTCGTCCACGCTACATCCTTTCCTTCTCACGTTATAAAGTTTTTCGTGTAGATCAAAACAATCTGATACAACGATTTTAGTACATCCTTCTTCTACAGACACTTGCAAATTATAATCGGTCATCATTTTTACAAGTGCATTTTTTAACCCTGGTATCTGTGTATTTTTACCAATTCTACGAATTAGAATTCTTGGATCAACGTATGTACCAATTTTTTGTAGTAGAACTTTCAAAAAATTCGGCTTCTCAAGTGATAAACCAATTAAATCGTGCCATAAATCGGTATCGTTTTGGTCTTTGCAGAATTCAATAGCTTGTTCAATATCACCTAATTGTGACATCACGAGATTTAACGCATCTTTAGTGTTACCCATTCGACCCAATAAGTATACCATTTCAGGATAATATTCAAGGCGTTTACATACATCTAATGCTTTTGCAATAGAATAGTTATCACTTCGTTTTAACAAAGGCAAAAGTTTTTCACGGGAAAATTCTGCGTATAATAATACAAGATCTTTGTGCAAGTTTCGTCTAGCAAGCATCCTTGTGTCTTTTTTTTCTAGTGCGTCTAAATAAGTATACAAATATAATTTATTGTATTGTAGCTTCACCACTGCTACATCGATAGGTATTGTATCTTTATCTAAAAGTATTTTAATAGTTTGCTCAGAATCTAATCGCATAAGATCTTCAATCATATTATGTATTAATGGGTACAGATTATGTTTACTGATTAATTGAAATATACCTTTGTGATTAAGTTTTAAGTACGCTCCTAGAGCTTTATCATATTTACCAGAATGAGTATAAAGAATAGCTAAAGCTTCTAAAAGTTCTGAGCTTGAGTTCACAATTAAATGTTCAATTAATGCATTAGTTACAGCTGATACGTTATACAAAAATGGTGACCATTGTTTAACAATTTTTAAAAATCCTTCAGGTTCAAGTTTCAAGTATTCATATAATACCATTTCATAAATATGAGGATCTAGAGTTACTTCACCTCTTGGTATATAAGAACTTACTTGACGAAGTTGATGTACTTGCGCAAATTTAAATATTTCTTCCTGCCAAAGTTTTTTATCATTACCAAAAAGTTCAGAGGTTAATTTTCCAGCCTCCACATATTCTTCAATGAACAATAAATGATCTAAAAATTTTTTCCCCACAGATATTCGTGAATTCCTATTTAAAACTATGTTATTAGAATTTACTATTTCCATTGCTTCAGAAAATTTGTTATGTTCTATTAGCCATTCAATTCTATCATCCCCATCACATGGATTAGCTAAAACTATATCTTTTGGGCTAACAATTACAAATAGATTTTCCACTACTAAACTATCAAGGGAATAATCATTACAGTCCAAATCTTGAAAATCACGTAAAGATAAGTTGTCGGTACACAGTTCAACATACTTAGATTCTTTTGCTTCGACAACATACAGTTGAGGTCTCATTGCCTTTTCGTTTTCATCTTTTTCTTTAGAATAACATAATATGACTAATTGATTATGATTAAGTGGACCAATACCAGAGATAAAATAATCAATACGAAACATAGAAAGTGGTTCTACTATATATTCAGGAACATCCTTAGGTCTTTGTAGTCGACGTTTTACTCCACAAATTCTGACAGTATCAACCCAACCAACAAGTAAAGTTCCATTGTCTTTCCATGTCAAATTACATCTATAAGTACTAGGTATTATATTGTTACGTTTATCCCATTTAATAAGACCTAATGAACAGCGAGAAATTATATCATAAACTCTCAGACCTATATTTGAAGCCCAAGCTACAAAACGGTTATGCCATCTCATATTATGTACTATTCCTTCCACATCACACAAAACAACTGATTTTGTACGTCCAAGAAAAGTTCGCTCATGAAGCATAAGACGATCATCTCCAGTAATGAAACGTCGATAATTGCCAGACTTATGATATAACGGGTCTATTGCGACAGATTTAACACAACGGCCTAATGATATTTCTTGGGCATCTTCCGTTGTGTAAAGACCATATACAAATACATTACCATCATCTGAACATGTAGCAATGAATTCACCGCGGCTGTCTATACTTATTTGATTAACTGCAACAGTGTGTGGACGTAGTTGCCGATTATTTACAATGTTTCCTTCAAAATCCAGTAAATGAATTGAACCCCAATTAGTACCAATGCATAAAAACTTTGGATGAGCAGCAAGATAACTAACACCATCTTTAGTTAAAATAGTTTGAATATCATTAGTGAGACGTACATATTTAAGTTTTGGTTCAACTTCTTCAACAATTTCTACATCTGATTTTTCATCGGATTGATAAGTCATTTTTGGAACTTACTATCTAAAATAAAAATAAAAATGTATTATATTATATTATGTATTATATTATATAAACACATTATATTTATATAGTTAATATAATATTATCATACTACATATTATCATTAAAAAAAACAATAGTATTATGAATTTTCTATTTTTATTTGAACAATTTTATGTTTAAAAACATTCTTAATAAAAATTTAAATTGTAATTAACAATGCTTTAATTATTATTCATTAATAATTTTATTAAATTAAATCCAAGAACAGTTTTTATGGATATTTACAAATAAAATAATTTTCTTAAATCAAATACTCAGAAAAATTATAGCCACAAAAATGAAATACTATTTTCAAGGATAATTTTTTAACTACATTATATTTAATTTAAAAACCATACACTTATATCTAATATAAATTAATTTAACAATTTATACAATACAAAATTAAGATATATACTGTATTTAAAAAAGTGTTGTGATGTAAGGTTACTATTTTAATGTTATTTTTGCCAATTTAATATAGAGTTTATATATTTACCAATAAATAGAAATTATTTAAGATTATATAAGACTGTGATGTATTAGACTCTTATAAAATGACCATTGCATACCCGTTTTAATGGGAATTGTCTATGTGACTGATGATGAAGTAAAATAACAAAATACAGAATGCAAAATATTACACTAAAATGATGAATAAAACCAATGACAGTTAAGAAAAATAAAACACTAAAAAACAGTTGTCATAAACATATTCATTATTTTATCGACAAGTAAATAGTCCATATAATATTTAATGTTATAAAATGGAAGTGAAATACTGAAATAACATTAAAATTATTTTTAATGGTAGGTATGTTTTAAATTTCATCGTTGAGTATCAATTATTTACTTTTTCATTCAATGATAAATATGTTTAATTGGTTTTTATTAAACAGCATATAGCTATTAACAGCCCACATCTAAGGTACCATTGTCCATCATGAGGGATAGAGAAAGTGTTTAATTAATTCAGATAATCAATTACTTTTTAAAACAAGTAACTATATTATGTACTAAAATATAATTCAGTGGAGTTGAAACAAACATTCTGAACAGTAATTTTTTTTTTGTAGAAAGTATTACATATATAAATTGAAAATGGGATTGGTTTTATTAGTTTATTTAGTAAGTATATCAATTAAAATATTATTTATATTTAATATTGAAGAATAATAAAATTATATGTGATATAAAACTAGCTTATTTTATATTTTATGTTTCCATATAATTTGATTTACAAATAAATTTATTATTTGTAAAAATAATAAATTAATATAATTACTCAATTATTTGTCTTTTTCAAAAAATATCATTGGCATAGCTTAGTACCTGCAATCCAAGTAGTAAAAGGAATGGGGCTCAAATTTTAGAACTTAAAAAGATGCCAAAAAAAAAAAAGTTCAAATTCTGTAGTTAAAAAAATTATAAATAAATAAACTATTATATGTTATGGAGTATATTTATATTGGCTATTAAATTTTTAAATTTTAAAATAAAATATTTCTTCTTTTAATAATCTATTAAATTTAGTTTGAAAACAACCAGTTTCAATAAAAATAGCTTTTTAGACAACTGAATATTATATTTTACTACACCAATAATATAATTTACAATTGTAATTTATTAAACTCACATAAAACTAAGTTTTTACTGTTAAAATTTAAATTCTAAAATATTATAAGCAAAAATTACATGTTCATTTCACTAATTTTCATTTAAAACAAATAGTCACTAATTAGTTAACTAATTAATTTATCTTTAAAGATAAATTTACTCTTTTTATAAACAGGCATTTAATAGGCATTTAATAAATAATAATAAGCCCAATATATATAAATATAATTTTTTTTAGATAGAGATTGCTATACAAATAAAAATGCAGATTAAAAATTATAGTTACTTAGCAGATTTTTAGGTTCTTAAAAATTTTAAATATGAAAATATGCATTAGTATGATTTTTTTTTTTCTTAAACAGTTCAATAAAATCATTAAATTACTTTTGAGGGTCATTCCTTTGATAACAGGTAAATTATTTAAATTTAAAAATTTAAAACATTTCATATATAGGAGTATAAACATATTAAAATTATATATAAAAATACAAAATAGTTAAATAAAAGCAATGAACAACTTGTATGCATTATACCTTGGTAAAATATAAATTATTTAAATGGAAAAAAGGGATAACAGTTCCATACATAGGAATATAAATATAATAATCAAATTTTATTTTTCCTAGAAAAATCACAACTCAAGAAATAAATATGCTTTTTTATGAACAATAATTGAATATATTCAAAAATATGAAAAATAGGCTAAATATTCTCTAATGTCCAAAATATGCTAAAATATGCAAAATAAATGTTTTCCTACGAACTCTATGATGGATAAATCGTCCACATTTTCCTAATAAAAAGTAAAAACCTAAATATCCGCTCTCTATTTATAATATAGTAAAATACTTCAGAATAAATTTAGTATAAATTCAGAACATAGATTGTATGAATAAACATTATATATAGCTCTTGTTTATATATATATAGTAAAAGTATTAATTATTTTAATCATTTTAATTCTTTAATTTTCCATATATTTAGTTTTTTTTTTTTAATTGGTCTTTGATATATTTAGTTAATTGTTATATTTTATCTTTAAATAGGTAATAATAAAAGATATTTACATCCTAGCAAATACTATACCACAACAGAATGAATCAAACAGATTAGCCAAATCACTGTTAGGAAAAATCCTTTACCCTAAGACTAAAACTCAATCAACATCAAATCATCATTCAGTTAAATTACAAAATTCATTTGGTGTTTCTGGAAATTTTGGAATCGGATTTCATTTTGGAAGTGGATACAGAATAAAAAATGGTGATGGAAAAGATGATCAGATTATTGAACACAAAAAAATACATGATAAGTATTTAGGTACTAGTTTTGGTTTTGGATCATTAGGAAACATCAACAACGATCATGTAAACAGCATTAAACAGTCAGTCTCAGATGATCAACAGATTATTTATCACGATGAAAATAACTTGGTTGATCAAGAGTCCAACAATGATACAATTCCAGTAACAGAAAAAACAAAGTCTGGAGTCTTCAGAAAAATCAATTGCTATTGGGCTGGTGATAGTGAACATACAGAAGCTAAAAATGATTATAATATAAGTAATGGAATATTTAAATGGAGTATGCAAAAATTAAAAAATAAAAATAGTATTGGAACACCTAGATAATAAGATTGCAAAATGTGTGTGTAAATCTATGGGATAAATAATAATTATGTAGGTACTTACAAATTTACAATAAATGTTTAGAATTTAATTGTATCAGCACAATGGTTTTAGTAGCAATTAATTATAAATACATAATTAATAATATACTCAATAATTGTTTAATAATAACTGTTTTAAGTAAAATGAACACGAATAATTAAATCAATAGTTTTTAAAAAATGTTTAAATAATATTTTTTATAATTAAATTATAAGGCTGATAACAATGTTTGGTTTAGTTTTTGATAGCTAGTAGTATCATTATATTGTTAGAATTTCTATAGAAAATTTAATGTTATACAAATACCAATAAGTATTCTAAGAATAAACCAATAGGTAACATAAATTTGTGAGCGTTTAAATTTTGATCAAAAATTAAATAACATATTTTATCAAGTATTTCTTTATTTGATATCTTTTATATTATCTCCATAAATATTAAAATGTTCAGAGCACTATGCTGATTTAATACAGAATTATATATATTATATATTATAAATTATATCTTAGTAATACATAAAAAAAATTGTCAATTGATTCTTTTTTTTCATCAGTATAATTCTTCAAATGTTGCTATAAACATTTTTGGTACTTATACGTTATCGTCCCTACCACCGACTCGTCGCGACTACCTTCATTTAACTTGTGCATTATCGCGACCATCTTGATTTTGAACAAATTATTGTACGCAACATATTTTTAATAGGTTTATAATAATACAAAACTACTCTAAGCTAAAAGTCAAAGTAGTTGGTAAGTTCCACAGATCCAAGGGCGGATCTAGGGGGGTTTCAGGAGGTCAGCTGACCCACAGTTAATATTTGTTGACAAAATTGGCCTCTTGGAAATTTTTTTCTCTTTTTAGACTTTGATTTGAACTCTTGGACAGTTGGCCCATAGGAGTTACTTAAAAAATGAATGCCATGTATATTCAAAGTTTAACATTTTTCAATTCATAATTTTTATTTTAAATTATATTGTTTTAGTAGAAAGTCAAGTAAATCATATTTTATTTCATACGTTTGTTGCTCTGATAAAATTAGATTATATTTATTAATCGTAAATAAGTCATTATCAGTGGTATCATTAATTCTAAAATGTAATATAAATATACTTATACGCTTTTATGAGCATATTGTGTTTTTTTTTTTTTTTATAAGGTATTCATTTCTAATTCAGTTTCATCCCTAATAGACGGCCTCTTGAAATGGCTTGACTCACAGTTCCCCGACTCTGAATCCGCTCCTACACAGATCCTTTGCCAAATAATTGTAATTGTACAACAAATTATTACTACTACAACGTAGTTGTGACTAAATGTCTACTAAAGTCCTAAAAGTTACCCAGCCAGTCTATAAAATTGCGATAAGTGCGATTGTAACGACACTGGAAAAAATAGAATTAGAAATAGAATCGCTTATAAAACAGCGTGCCATATAACCCATAATGAGGTAGTCGCGATAACGCACATGTACCATATTTTTAAATGTAATGATCTGTAATGTAAACAAATGTTTCATTCACACAAAAATTATACTCGAATAATTTTTAATCTACAATTCAATAAAGTATATTTAAGTTAAAACAAATTAATTTATATACCTTTCAATGTTTGTTTTCTTGAACATTTATTATTAACAAAACATTTTATCTATTTAAATTAAACAGAAATAATAAAAATGGTTATTCATTTCTTGTACTCCAAGTTTAACATATATTATACAATTAATTAGGTAAGGTTGTCATGGAATATAATTTTACTATTGTTTTAAATATAATTAAAATGATTTTAACAGTCCTAGTACATAAACTAGCTAAACTTAGGTACTGTAAAAAAGTGAAATTATATGTATATATATAATTTTACTTTCAAAATTGATGTAGTATTTACTGTCACTGAAAGATGGATAATACTCATCACCATAATTTATATATTTATGTACCAACAATTGACAAATTATGTTATTTCTGTTAAATAAAATAATAAAGGTTTATTTCTATGATTTATATTAAACTTAAATATTTATTTGTTTGAAAACTATAAACATGAATTTAATAGTAAATAAGAATAAATTATTTTATAAAATATTTAATTACCTCATTTAATTGTCATTTTTTTAAATTGTTTCATTTTATACACTAAAACAGGCGCGTACACAAAGAAATGTTTTGGGAAAGGTTTTACATTGTATATTTTCATAATAATATAATCTATATACCAATTTTACTATATAAAAACATATTTAATATAATTTTCCTGAATTTCGGGAGGGGTTTGACCCCTAAACCCCCCCCTTGTGTACGTCCCTGCACTAAAAGCATAAAATTAAGTACCTATAGATCATATTTATCATTAACGGACAAAAAATAATCTATGTTCAAAGAACATGTTAGTGATATTCAAGGTTTGGGATCACTTACAAAATCAAAATCAAAGTAAACATTTTAAACAACAAAAATTATATTAGATAAAAGTTTAATTTAATATTCATAATATGTTAACAATTTATAAAATATGTTATAAGTATACAAAAAAATTTTATATTTTTATGAATATAGTGATTTATTAATTAAGTATGAATATAAAATATTTTTATAACTAATAACCAAATACCCTGTAATTCTATTTAAAACAATAGTCATATAATTTATAAGTTTATATGTACCAAATTTTAATATACCAAAAATGATATGATATATTATAAGTGTTTTACAATAAAAATTATTTTTCTTAAGTTAATATATACTGTTATGAATAGCAAAAGTAAACTATATATCTATGTCATAAATTAATAAATAAATTAATAATACTATTCATCACAATTTACTGACTTAAAGGGTGGTGAAATAGATTATAGTTATTTTTTCAGAATTTTATAGTTTTTGTTACAGAGCTTTAACTTAGTCCAAGCAATCATAACTCATGACATTTTTTTTTCTCTGTATAATTTTCTACCTCAAACTTGTATTTTAAAAATGTCTAAATACAATTATTTTATGAAAAACTTTAGATGTTTTGCATAGGTTTTTATTAACATGATCTAGGTCTGCTTACTAAATGATCAAATTAAACAAAACATTACAATAATTTAAAATGTAATATCTAATTAAAAACTATATTATAATTCTCAAGCTGCTTTTTTAATAAGTTTCAAATCTTCAGCGAGTTTCAAACATTTCTCAGCCATTTCTTTTATGTCTTTTTTCTTCTCATCATCCATTATTGACAAAGCCATTAATACTTCCATAATATTAGTGGCAAAAACTTTTTCTGCAATTTCTTTGTCAGCACATATTAAACTATGAGCAATTACCAAAGCTCTATGCTGCATTGCATTATTAGGATGTGCTAATAAAGCCTTCAATGATTCTTCCCAATTGTTAAATGTCATTAATTTCTTACTACATTGGACACTATTTGATACAGCTATTGCAACTGCACCAGCTGCAGCCAATGATGTATCTTCATCTTCTTCCTCACACAATAAGAATAACATTTTCAATCTATCATTATCACCCTCAATTACCTTAATAACTTCATGAGATAACATAAGATTGGTAAAACATTGGACAGATGCTCTCCTAAGCATCAGATGTTCTTCAAATAAATAACTTTCAATAAGTTGCAGTCCACCAGAGTCTAAAATCTTTTTTCGGACTCTTTCATTCACAGATGCCATATTGCATAGAGCCATCATTGACTCAAAGTTTTCTAAAGCTGAACAGTCTGGATGCAATAGACTAAGAAATGGTCGTATGGATTCTAAACAACGTTGTTCTTTGAATGATACTTCTGGATTAATTGAAATTCCAATCCTAGCAAGAGCTTGAGATGCTTGTCTTTTTCCTTTAGGTGTACCTGAATGGGCAAGTTCTAAAAGAGCTTTTATACCTCCTAATTTAGCAACTTCACCTCTGACCTCAGGTAAGATACATATAGCATTAAACAAACGTGAAATAAGTTCTTTTATATTTAAACTTTCAGTTTTGGATAGCTGTACAAGAACTGTTATAACACCATGTTTGGATAATAATATAATTCTTTTATTTACAAAATCAGCATCATCTAGTTCATGATCTTCTGGTACATGCTGTTTGGAAAATTTGGCAAGTTCAATCATCTCTGGTATAACCTCTTGTTTTTCATATGCATTACATAAATTCACAAAAATTGATACTAGAGCATACATAGCAGATGTTTTCTCTGACTTAGCTAGCCCCATAATAGCTTCTAATGCTGCTTGATCTTCGATTAATTTTTCTTTGACTTCAGCATCTAAAGTTAAATAAGACAACCCTTCAACTGCCCACCTTTTTGTATCTGGATTAGTATTAGGATGTATTAAAAATCTACGACAAGCTTCAGCTAATTTAAGAGTAGAACCTTCTGAAAATGGACGTATAGAAGCATCAGTACCTCCACTACTACCAAGTTTACATAATCCGACTAATGCACGGATCCGAATATCATCATCACCACTTCTATAAAGATTTTTAAGTATTTGAGTACCTAGCTTCACAATTGGTGTTATCTTACTTTTTTTGGATGTGGCAGCAATAATGCACTCGCATGCAATTTTTTGCTGTACTTTGTCATTTGTTGTAGCCATGGCAAGAATCATTTCAATAATTCCTATAAAATAAATATTTATGAACTAAATAATGAAGAATATAAAATAAAATATGAATACATTGAACTTACCATCTCTTGATATAACTGAATTTCCTACATCTATTGGACCCATAAGCAATACTGTTAAAGTGGATACGGCTCGAACTTTTGTTTCTATATCTGGGTCTAGAAGCATTTTTTTAAGGAACTCATCAACAGCTTCCATATATTTTTCTCGGGATTTGTCACAAGTTAAATTGTCATAAATTCTTGATAAGCAAACTGAAACATTAGTATGTGAATATTCCGTTATTTCCATTTTTGACTCGTATCTAGTTTCAATAAGTTCAGCAGCAATTTCTAACAATCTTTGTAAACCTTTCATATCAATCAAACGCTCAGCCCAATTTACATTGTTAAAATGTATATTTCTTGTTAAGATTTCTACTATAGAATCTCTCGCAAATTTATTAATTGAATGACGATCTATAGAACAAACTAAGCATGTTAGAATTGCATCTATTTCTTTTGAGTTTTTTATGCATTTTTCTTCATTCGGTGAACTATCTAATTTGTTGGACATGCCAGTTAAACTATTTAATGCTTCTTGTATAATATATGTAACACCATTTATTTCATTTTGATTTTCTGTGTTTAATGCATCAATAAACCATGGCACACCTAAATCAACTAGAACTTGTTTGGTACAAGTTTCATTATTTTTACATAGTTGTCCAATTATTCTCAAAGCATTTATTCGTACTTCAGAATTTTTATCGTTCTTTAAAAGACCTTTAATTTTACTGACAATACCAAATTTTAATAAGCCAACACATCCACTATTTGACTCTTTAGATATAACCAATAAATTTTTTATGGCGGTTATACGTTTATCAATACTTTCTTCAATTGTAAAAACAAATTTAAACATACTTTCAATTTTGTTAGACAGTTGAGCATTTTCTTTAACTTTTTCTTGGACAATTGGATGTAATCTTGACAAGATTGGCTGTATTTCTTTATTTGCTGGATCTGACAACAAACATTGTTTACCATCTACATATGCTTCTTCATATTTTCCAAGTTGTTCATAAGCATAACAACGTCGAAATAATGCTTTTGGATCGTCAACAACAATGTTTAATGATGAACTGCAGTCACGAATAGCATTTTCAAACTCACCTAATTTATTATATACTGCAGCTCGATTTTTATATAATATTGATTTCTCTCGATTATTTTCTTTAAGCAAGTCTAATGCATTAGAATAACAATTTAAAGCTCTTAGCCAGTCTCCATTTTTAAAAGCCACATTGCCTTGTTCTTTAAGTATAATCTCATTTTCAAAATTTTCTTCAGGCATCATATCACATTAAATAAAATACTGTGAGCTAATTATTCAAATTATATTATTTAAAAATTTATGATTTAACATAAATGAAAAAAACAAAAGAAAACGTGAACACGAGTTTTTTACATTAAAATGTTTGAAAGGATGCCAAGAATAAAAATTCTTAATGAAATAGAACGTTCTAGAATTTATAATACAATATATTTTTAAACCTTATTGAAGTTGAATACTATTATCAATTAACAATTTAAAAAGTAGCTTATCACTCTTATCATTCAAATTTTTCCACAGTTATATTTGATCTTGTATCATGTACTATAGTATATGATCTAAGCCAGGGGTCTTTAACCCATGGCCCACGGGCCACTTGCGGCTCGCCCTGTCATAACATGCGGCCCGCGATTACATTTTAAATGTTTTCATATTAAAAATAAAATAAAAAAATTGTAATTAAAAAAAAAATAATTATCTTTTTATGTTTTAATAATAATAATGATTTGTAATTTTAAATGTACCCACCTAATTTTAATAAATGTAAGAATAAAACTGAATTTTTATATAAAATACATGTTTTTACTACGATTGCGGCCCGCAAGGTTTAAAAATAATAATATGTGGTCCGTTGCATAAAAAGGTTGAAGACCACTGATCTAAGCAGTGGTGTCCATACGGGGGTGGTTTCCGGGTTCAAACCCCCCACAGGGCAAAAAAAAAAATTGTTTTATTATTGATGACGTGTAATATATTCGTAGTTTCATTATTACGCTTTGAACTTAAAATATACAACTATACAAATATTATGATAATTAAATAATTATATTGATAGGTGTTTGAAAAGTTTTGTTAACTATGCTGTTTTTATATTCCAATAGCTATTAATTTATCGTAATATAAAAGTAAACATAAATTGGTAATAAAGTTGTATAAAATAATTTCTATTTATAGCAGTTATTTATCTCATTTATCTATGCAACGAAAAAAAAAGATTATTTATATTTATTATTTTTGTTAACCCCCCCCCCCTCAGAGCAAGATTGAATGTACGCCACTGGATCTAAGTAATAGTTTCATAGCAGTAGTGTATTCAGGCTTCATGTAACGGGATGTTTTAAAATTTGATAGTCTTATGGTAAGTAGGGGGGGCCCCCCTCCGTATTACATTAATAAATAACATTTATTTATATAAATGAATATATTAATACAGTATATATAAAATCTACAAGTTGTATACATTTATTTAAATTATACTGTAAATTTGCAATTTGGTGAAATAATATATGGTGGTTGATGGGGTTCTAACACCCATATAACCCCCGATTCATAGTAATTATTCGATTTAACTATGTAATGCATTCTTTAATGTACATGTAGTAAAGCTATGTAATTGTTCTTTGTGCTCATATGTAATTCAGAATAGAGCTGATAGAACTAATAGAGAATAAAAAACATTAAATCATATTTTTATGGTACCTAATCTACAATTTAATGATTAGATAAGATTGATTGAGATCTCCATTTAATATGGTATCTTAAATCGTGATTCATATCAGACTCAATATCATAAACCTATTAGTTAATGTCTAAAATCTATGCTTCATATTTATTTATGTTTGGCACTATATTTCTTCAAGCATAAAGTAGAAGTGAAAAAATGGGTAATTGTTATTTAATTTCAATTTACAGCTTCACTATTAAAAATAAGAAGATTGGTTATTGTTCAAAATAAACAACTTCATATTTATCAATGTTGTAGATTTTTAAATATCTTACAAAGTTAAAAATTTATTGTCAATTCAGGTTATATAAACAAATTAATTATACATACACTTTATAAGAAACCAAATTTTGAAAATAAATTATAAACTGAATTGAATAGAATGCTGAATTGTAAATCATAATTATTATAATTATTATTTATTTTCTTGTATAATTATTTATAGAAATTACAGTTGATCCTAAATAGATAAATGTGTGGTCTAATTATAAATAAGGAAAAAAAATCACGTACAATATTATTAGTTATTTCTTTTAAAATCTTTTGCTTTATTTAGTTACACCAATTACTAGTATAAATTATAAAAAGTATCATAGATAGAAGGTACATTAAAAAAGAAAAAAACGCAATATTAAGTTCTCATAAGTCATTATAAAATAAAATTAAAAAAATATTTAAAAATATGGTACCATCCGATTATTTTGAGGTAACTATATAAAATCATAACAAGACACATCATTCTTGAATAGGGAATACTATAGGACTACATAAAATGCTCCTAAAACTAACTTAGAATAAAGTTATTTACAATATTACTCATAAATATCCTTAACAATATTACAAACTACCTTAATATTATTGAGATGATACATTTAAAGTTTATGTTCTAAATTCAGTAACAAAAAATATATAAAATCAGAGAATCTTTCCCAGAATTTAAATTAGTTTAAATTCCAATGGAAAACTAATTTTAAAAATAATTTAATTCTAATGATGAATAAATTATACTCTTATTAAATAATTTTCGATTCTAATTAACAAATTATAAAAACTGACCATTTTTAGCATTATAAAACAGAATACGTGCGTGTTATGTAATTTACATTGGAAATCAAATATTAGCACTCATTAAACAAACAGTAAACACTATAAATAAACAATTATAATTATAAATTAATTTACTTAATATTTCTTACAATTTAAATAATAAGATACTATTAGTATAAATAAATACAAACAATAGAAATCAATAAAATACCAATCTATTACACTCACTATTTAAATGGAAAAATGTTATATTTTGCAAGTTTCAATAATAAATACTGTTATAATTTATTATATAAATAATTGATACCTCAAAATATAATTTGTTCTGTTATCAATGATTATATTTTCAAGTTCAGAAAATTAATTAATGGTTTTATTCACTAAAATAGCAATTTAAGTAGAATATTTAATTACTAAGGGATAAAGAGATTATGTTAAAGAAAATATAAACTACAAAAGAAAATATATTATTTATAAGGTGGGCTTTTGAATATTCACATTATTGAGAACAAACTTTCATATATATATATATATATATATATATATAATGAATTATGAAGCATTGTTGATAAGAGCAAATTTTATAGTATTAATCATCTTGTCTTGAATTTAAAAAATTTAACATTTATAGTAAACAAAATTTTGTCAGTTCTGCCGAATTTTAGTCAACTTTCAGAAAAGTATTGAGAAATGTCAGGATAAATTTCAATTAAGGACTATATTCCTGAAAATGTTGATGGTACAGGAATGCTAATTCAACCTTGAACTTCGTTCATCATATTTCTGCTAAATATTGTTGCACATAATTTATAAATCAGAAACATGTTCTTCTGTCTTTTCTGCATCTGAACCTAAATCTTGTTTTAAGGCTTCAACACATGATTTTGGTATTAATGTACCTAGAATAATAAAAAATATAAGACAAACATTATAAATAAATAGAAACAAAATATGCCAAAAATTACTTACCAACTATTTTCATTCCTTCAGCAGTCTTTAATCTGACAACTTGCATTTTGTGATGTGAACCTGTACGAGCAAGCAATACATTTTCTATTCTACTCCACACACTTAACACTGATCCAGATAAAACATTGTATGTACGACGTCTCAATCCTACTTCACAGTCTTGACCAAGTGTAACAAGTTTACAGTTGCCACGCCTTAATAAAATCAATAATAACTCTTAAAAATTATACTATAATAAAAATAAATGTTTAAATTACCAATAAGCATGTGAACAAATAGTTTCAGATGAATCATATTGTTCTTTCCAATGTTTTTCTGCTTCATCACTTTCCACTTTATAGTATTTTTTTTCAAGTTCACTTAGCGATTCTTGCCTCAACTAAAAAATAATTAGCACATAAATATACAGTTAAAGGTATAAAACAATTTTTAACTTTATAAAAAATATTTAATTTCCATAATTTACCTGTAATCCAGTATTTGGACGGAATATAGTAAACATGATGTCTTTCTTAGATGGTGATTTTGTGGTTTCTCCTTTTTTATTAGCATTATTGTCAGCCATCAAAGCAAGAACTGCTGTACTTTTATTGTTTCTTACCTAAATTGAGTTTTAAATAATATTAAAATTATACTAAATATTTAAAAACTTTCCAAATTAATTTTTACTTGATGAGACAGATAAAATCCTTCATTAGAAGAAGATTTAGCATCAGCAGATCTTTCTAAAGCTTCATCCCAACTCATACCTCTTTCAACATGTACAATATGAAGCTCAGTAGTAGCTTGGCCAGTAGCATGCTTTCTAAGAAACTTATATAACTTTACTCGTTTTACATTTTCACCAGCTGTACCCAGATCTTAAGATAAATAAAAGGAAAAAATAAATAAATAATTAGCAAACAAAATGTAAATACATTACATTACAAAAAGTACATACCCAAGATTCCCAAATCGAAGCGACCAGATTTCTTGGCTTGTGTAATGATATGATGTAGCACATCAGTGAAATATTTAAACAGTCTGTTTTGAAGTTCAACTGGCATACCAAGGATACGATTTAGGAACTTGCTTATGTTGTTGTAATCCTTGTCTAATGTTAAGTTACCAGGACTAGCTTCATTATTGATTATCATACCAACGCCTACAAGAGCTCCACCAACATCTAAATAAATAAAATAAAAATTTTAATTTTAAATAAAGAATTTATCTATTATTTGATTAGTAAAGATTAAATGCATCATTTTATATTAATTGAATTAGAATTTTCAATATTTATGTTTAAAATATGTTGACATGCTTAAAATAATTGATAATAGTATAAATTATGATACAAAAATAATAATAATAATAATTAGAAAATATAAACATCTTTCAATGATGACAAAAAGTATTTCATGTTAACCATCCTCAATGTGTATAACACTAAACATTTATGAATTTTCAATCATTACCTTCAAAAAAGTTTCCTCTATAATCTTCTGGAGGTGGTACTATGGGACTTTCATAACCAATAATAGTTTTCATTGTGGTTTCTAATGCAGCACGACCATATTTATTATCAATATTAAATTTAGATAAATCTCGGGTTTCTGTTGCTCTCCTATCACCATGAGTTAGAGCACCCTATAATATAATATTGTACAAAATATATAATAGATAATAATTAATATAGTTAACCATAAAATAAATAACATCCTTTAGTTAATACTCACAAGACTTTCTAATCTCTTAGCTACAATAGATGCAAATCTTCTCTCGCCAGCTAAGTCTGATATAAGGAATATATATTCTGGAGCATTAACTTGATTAGAACGATGAGAACGACCAAACTGCTGAATAGCCCTGTCAGCACTCCATGGTAATTCTAAGGTAATGTGAACTCTACGACGCTGATTACGAGCCCTTCGATCACTTTGCAATGAAATACCAGAACTAGCAGCTTCAGATATTATAGCAACATCTTTTTCTCCATCCATAAATCTTTGTTTTTCTATTTAAATATATATATTTATATATTAGAAATAAATTAACTCTTAAAAGTTAATCAATAATACTTACCAATAACATTTAAAGTTTCCAATGGGGCATCAACTTCAGACCGAGACTCGTATTGTATACCACCATCAGTTTGAACAACTCTTCCTTTTCTTCCGGTCATCTAAAATACAATTATTTTGTTATTCAATATTTTTTTATATAATTTTTAGTAATTGAGTTCAGTTTTTTTTTTTAATTAAGTGTGCACTAATTTTTTTTTTAGAAATATCAAAATAGATTTAATTGCTTAAAATGTATTATACTTTACAATTTGTTAAATTATTACAATGTCACCATAACTTATGATCTAGGGTGAGCAAGATACTAGAAATAACTCACTCATTTTGTTACAAAGTACTTGGGCTTATAAAATTAAATAATTAATATAATTTCAATATAGACACTTATAACATTTGTGCTTAGGAAAATAAAAGAAATGTTATATAAAATATCAATAAGAAGCAGGCCACGTTATTGAATTTGTATTAAAAGTAAAAAAATAAATGTTTTGTTTTCTTTATATAATTTAATTACGATCATTAATTTCGAATTCTACCAATTCAATATTATTATTTTTTAATAATTCTTTAGATAGGTCATTATTCAAATATTAAAAAAAAAAAAAAAATCCCTAGATCATGAGTTATAGTGATTGATTTTCTAACTAATTAACATACTGTATAGTTAAGTAATTACAGTATCATAAAATATTTAAGTATTATGTACATAAATTATATATTATCACAAGTTACAAAAGAAAACTGAATTTAAAACTTTTCAACTCATTTATTCATTCAATTTAAATATAACATATCAAATAATATATAACATATAGAACTGTCAATTTCTTTTTTCTCTTTTGTACTGGTGTTATATATAATATTTTATACTTATTACATATTAGATTTTAAATTACTGACTTCAGTAATATAGGTACTCATATCAGGATTCAAAACCCTTAATGAAAAAAAAAAAATCATACCAAAAATTAAGAAAAAGAACTATAATGCATCATGGTTAAATCCAGAAAGATAACATACTATACAACGAAGACATAAATTATTCATAATTTTAATTAGTCAAATTATTTAATTAAATAAGTATCAACATTTAAATACTAATGGTTGTTACGGACATACATAAATGTAGGTCCTTACGACCATCACTACACAGGGGAACCACATAAATAATAAATAATATAGGACTTGTGTAAACAATATAGAAAATAATTACTGGCACCATGCTAGGACCAGAGGGTAACACAAACACATATGCAAATGTGAGTAACATGCCACTTCAAAGTATTATTGAGACGGGAAATCCAATTAATTTCAGAATTAAATTATAAGAGTGCATGACAGAATATGGAATATGTGCGAGTGGCAATATTAGTGAGGTCCACTATTAAAGTAATAAATCTGAAAACATCCACATTTAGCATCTCAGGGAGTTAATAATAATTGGAAATAACTTTTATATTATAAAACCATAAAGCTTTAAAGCACAACTGATTTCCACGAGACCTGAGTATATAAGGGAGGTTGCTAACAAACCAATATTCAAATGTTTTTTAGTCCAGTAAATGCAGGCACCTTTATGCGCTTAACTTAATATTTTAATTTGTACTTAGAATTGTTTTGTGAAATTATACTATTGAACTTAAAATTTATCGATAATTTAACTAATTAAGAAGCTGCACAATTGTCTTTATTTCTCTCCCGTTGCACTAGTCTGTACACTCAGATTGGCACACAACATAGTAATGGAAAAAGAATAATTGCATAGAAAATTTTATATTTTTCAAATTGCATATGTAAGGCATAAATTAATATTAAATTAATTTAATTTATAATAAAAATTATAGTTTAACAGAAAGTAGAATAAATCATAGGAACTTAAGGAACTTTTAATAATGATTAATTAAGATAACAAGAATTCACAATATAAATTATGACATATACATGAAAATAAAAAAGTAAGATATGTACTTACTTCAGCAACATTTTCTGGTCCACCAAGTTCATCAATTAGTTGATCAAGGGTATTTGGTGGTAACTTATCACCTAATCTTTCAATCCTTTCCATCAATTCTTCTTTCATACTACACGCACGATCAATAGCATCTTTCTGATGACTGTTATTAGCCATACTTGATTTCAGTACTATTTGATGAATTTTATCTTTTGCAGTTTGTTTCTTTTTAGCAGGAACTTTGTTTTTACGTTTTTTTCCTCGACCTCCGGCCCAAGGTTCTTAAGTAAAATAATTTAGCAATTATAACAATTATAATCTAGTATAAAATCAATAAAAATAAATATTATTTACCATCACTATCTGTTTCATCTTCCCCAAATGGATTAAAATCACTGCTTGCTTCTGAATCATCGCTATGTTCTTCGCTAATTTCAGATTCAGATTCAGACATTTTAAAATCTGAATCATCATTGTCAGATTTTGAATCTGAGTCACTTGAATCTTTGGCACGTTTAACATGCTTCGAAGATGCTTGACGACCTAATGTTTAAATATTATAATTTATATTCAGTGAACTGTAAAATTAAAATATTATTACCAGATTTTCTTTTTTCTCCACTTCCTCCAGAGCCACTAGGTCCCTGAGAATCACCATTTTGGACTTTAGAATGTTTTAATTCAATACCAACATTTCCAAGGAGTTTTTTTATTCTATTACGATCTGGTGCAGGAAAATGTTTCTCAACTAAAGATTGTAATACACCCCTAAAATATTTCATGTAAGTTTTAACATTAGTTTTAAATCCTTTAATATTAAGTGTACTTACTTTGCTGTTGATACAAAATCTGTTAATTCTCCATCATCTTTTTCAAGCTGTTCAAGAGTTCGGGCTTCTCCAGTAGATTGCAATCCAATAATTACACACTTTCCATGTTTAATTGCCTCTCTAAATAATTAAGATTAAGTAATAAAAAAAGTTATAATTTAAGTATTATTTTACCTAGCTACATCAACTGCATGTTTAACTTTTGCTGCAATACATAAATATTTGAAAAATCTTTGATGGGAAGACCAAAACTGACCCCACATTGTTTTTCTCATGCGATTTTCAGCATCAATTAGCTCTGCTGCTTCTTGGAACATATGCATTGCATCCACCCACTATTATACATTTTATACATTTTAATATATATGAACTTTTTCAAACATAAGATTTGGCTAAGTTAAAAATTTATGGTATACCAATTTTACAGCATTATCATAAACATTACTAAATTCAGTTGATAATGGTACTTCTTCAATTTTAAATGACACACCATGGAAACTTAACTGTCTTGCTATATACATGCCTCGAAGTTTCATATCCATTGCAACTATTTCCATAGCACCAACACCACTGAACAAAAAAATATAATTTTAGTAGTAAATGAATAATATTAGTAGTAATTAAAATAAAAATTAAATTACCGTTTTTCAACTGCATTAATAAAATCAAGAAATTCTGGAAATGTTGTCCCTTGTCCCCACATTCCCAGACGTACCATATAAGCCATATTTCGAGGTTCCGAAGCACCAGTAGCTGATGCATAAACAACTCGAGCATTAGGCAATTTATTTTGTAAATCAAGCACTGTTAATCCTGTTTTTGTTGGTTTTGTAGAACCAACTGGACAAAGATTCTTAGCACGATGGCATTCATCAAAAACAATCTAATAACCCAATTATTAAAGAAAAATCTTAAGTATAAAATAATTCATAAATATTATATTACATTCAACTCATTATCTAATCTACGAAATTATATCAGATTTTTTAAAAAAATATCATATTATTTTTAAATTGTTTAGCATGGTACCAAATAAATTAATAATTGTATTGGTAATCATATATCAATAATACAAATCATAATCTTAATTTGTTTCAGGATCTTAAATCTCCAAAAGAATATCTTAAATGAAAAAAATGTACTTGGTATAACTAATAGATATTATGTAGAAATTATATAAGTATTAAAAATTAAAAAATTAATGTTTTATGAATTTATAGCTACAAAAATAATATACAATTTTGTAATGTTTGGATTTTTCTCTACAAATTAGAAAATTTATGAGAATTCAAATATGACTTTCCATTAAGTTTTAGACTTAGACATACTTTGATATCAGTGAAATTTTTTCTTTTGATGACTGTAAAAATTCTTCTTATCAATAATGTGTAGATAGATACAAAAAAAAAACTTATACCATGATAAAATAATATAGTATTTGTTATAAAGGATACAAGTCCATCAAAATCATCACCACACCAATTCAATAGTTGTTTCAAACGACTTTTATATTTTCCACCACCACTTGATTCACCGATGAGAGCAGAATAAGTAGAAAAAATAACTCCTTTTGATACATTTCCATTTGGTTGAGAATTTATTTTGGCATATTTAAACTGGTAAAATAAAATATTGATCAAAAACAGATATATATAAATATACAACTAATTTACCTTATTCAAAGAATACACTTTAATGTTGGATGTTCCAATATCTTCTAAATCACGTTCAGCATCAAATTTCAAATCATTAGATACCGAAACCCATATAGCTTTCTTCCGACCTTTTAAAAAGTTCTCAAATATCAACCCAGCAATTGTTCGACCTTTACCCACTCCAGCACCATCACCAATAAGAAAACCTGCTCTTGAACCATCAGGTAATACATGTTCATGTTGTTGGCATGTATAAGTAATAGCTTCTAATTGAAGAGCAGAAAGAGATCCAGAATTTATGGTTTCTGGAGGAAGTGATAATTCATATTTTACGTCAGCAGGTTCAACACTTGATAGAGATGCTGTTTCTACTACTGGATCTGGATGTTTCTTACCAAGCTTCACTATAATTTAAAACATCAATAAATTGCATTTTTCATAATAGTGATAGACACAGAATTTACATTTGGCAGGCATATAATCAGCATATGTTTCAGCTACTCCCATATCTTCATCTTCATTCTCTTCTTCATCTTCGCCAGGACGTCCTGACATCTATAATAAACAATGGAGTAATATTAATAAATACCGAAAATTAAAACTATAATTTTATCAATTTAAAAGTTGCTGTGATTTAACATAATAGTTGGGAGGAGGATAGTCATGGATCATATATGACTAAAAATAAATGTTTAAGTATTTTTAATGGATGTCTCTATTAAACTTACACAAGTTTTTTCAAATAAATTTCATAAGTTATAGTAAAAATAGTTAAAACCTATTATTATAAATGTATACAATTTTTATCTTGCGTACACTGAATATTTAACTTTTGAAGTAGATGAGATGATAATTAAACACCAGTCATCACTAATTTTGCTACTTAATACCATTTTACTAGTGTGAGAAAAAATTTCAGTCTTGAGTGAAATGCAGCTGAGGCTCAAATTACACACAATTGAAATTCCTCACTTCCTATCATTGCTATACAACAGGGATAGACAATTCAAAGCCACTAGAGGACCAATTTTTAGAACTTGAAAATCTAGCATACCACAGTCAAGAGAGCAACAAAAAAAAATCATTAAATTTGACAATCAGCATTTATTTTAAATAAATTAATTTTACGATCGAATCAATACAATAAAATAAGTAAATAATACTTAACCGATATAGATATCTATACTAATATTATATAGAGGTAAAGTTTATGAGTTTGATTGTAGGAAGTAATCTCTGGAACTATTGTACCGATTTTGAAACTGCTTTCACTAGTAGAAAGTTACATTATTCATGACTGACATAAGCTAAATCTAATACTAGCTGAATTATTCGTCACTGCCAGGTAACAGTAAAAAAAAAAAAAAAAAGAGAGTAAAATTAAATATTATTACATACCCACATTTTAAAATAATGTTAATAAATAAATCTAAAAAATTTCCTGTACAACTTTGCCTGTGCCAGTTCTTGTAGTAGGTATTTTAAAGTACTTCTACGTACACAATATTTTTAATTTTATTTTCTTGGGGTAGAATAACATATTGGTTTTTTCTGCAGCCTAATTTTGCTAATCCTATATATAGGATACATTACAGATAAAAAAATATGCCAGCCAAATTTGGTCCACGAGTCACTAGTTGCCATCCCTGCACTACAATATAGTATTTTCTCATGTACTTCAAATTGAACAAGTGATAACCAACGGTGTATTATCATTTTTTGTTAAAAACATACATTATATTTTAATCACTTTTACTTATAACTATTTTTAGTAATTCTTAATTTCAAAATTAAGTTATCATTAATATAGCATGAATGAGTGTTTTCATTCACATGATAAAAATTATTATCAATAAACATTTTTTGAGAAAGGGCAAAACATAAATTCTTTATTTTGCTAACTCTTACATGTCCAATTACATATTAAAACAGTGCTAAAATAATTCCAATCATTACAAATTTTTTTTTTTTTTTATATATACTTAAATAACAAAAATAGAAAATATAGTGATGTATATTATTTAAATAAAAATTATAATTACTTTAGAATTCATTGTTTGATTGTACCAATATGGTGATACATTTTTAGGACCCACTGGAAAACTTTGTTGAGTAAATGGTTGTTGCATTAAATTTTGTAATAGCAGAGATGCAGCTGGTCCTCCTGAACTCAGTAGTTGAGATATTAAGTTAGTATTATTACCACCATTGCTCATTAATGCTTGTAGAAGGAAATTAGTAGCAGCGTTACCATCCATCATTCCTGCTGATCCACCACCAACCATACCTAAGTATACAAAATTATTATAAAATATTGTTTTTTATTTACTTCCAATTACCTATATTCAAAAAGTTAAAAAGGTTACATAACAACATCAAACATTTGAAATTAAGTTTTAAAGATAAATTATATTTAAATATTTAATACCAATACCTTGTAAAAATTGAGCTTGATTTATATTAGGAGGCATCATCCCTGGATAAGGCATATTTTGAGGAAACATCATATTAGAAGATCCTTGTGCTAAATTCATGAAAGGATTTCCCATCATGGCACCCATCCAATTAGGCATTCCACCTATATTTTTTGGATAGCCTGTAATAAAATAATTTTTATTTTATAACTATCAAAATTGAAATTTACATAATAAGAAACAATTGATCTTTAAATATTAATTCCCTTCAGTTTAATATTCATCTATATTATTTGCTTACCATATGATTACAAACTTTAATTAATATAAAGTATTATTACTATTGTAGATCATCTTACTATATATTTCATTGGTGTACATGATTAATAGCTTAAGCCCAAAATACCACGACTATAAAGCCTCGAATTCTTTGACATATTATCTACAAATTTCAATCAAATTATTTTAAAAATAACTTCAATAAATTGATATGACATTGACCCCTTACTATATTCAAGTATGGTACTAAAAAAAACTTCTTAAACATCCCTCAAGAACTGGAACATTAAAAACTGACTCTAATCTATATATTATTAGTTACCAAAAATGTAACAAAAAATCGTAATCCCTGACCATCACAATAATCAAATACTACCTATGGCAAATTAGGTTAGATATTACAAATTAATCCTAAATAAATGTCTTACCTATGGCATGCAATTAAACCTTAAATAAACACAGCTAATTACTCTAAGGGTTGCACCTCTTAGACCATATTGATATTTAAACTCTGTACATCTTCGTGCACAAACCAATCATCCAATTAGTATCTGAATTAGTGAAAGATAAGCTGTAAGGTAGGTCAAAGCTCACAAAATAAATTTTTTTACAGATATTTAAATTAATTTGTAGGCTAAAAATAACCTCTTTATTTCTGGTAAATAACAAATAAAAATGTTCTCATAGGTTAAACATATCTATCCAAAACTTTATAACATACGTTCAGTTTTAGAAACATTGAATCTTGTACAAATATTGTTCAATAACTAAGTATTAAACATCACAGAATAATTTAAGCAGTTTATTGATATAATAATTGTAATTTTAAAGTGAATTCATAATAATTACCCATGTTATTTGCATTCATTTTAGTTGTTGGTTCTAAAGGCTTATTTAAATTAGTATTGATGCTGGTACCAGGTGGTTTTTCATCTACATAAGACGACTTAATAGTTGCTGCTGTTGCCAAGTCTTTCCCTCCACCTGATAATAAAATGAAGTAACTTATAATTATAATTCTAAGAGTAAAAGTAAAATAAAATAATTTAAATTATTATTTTTTGTTCATTGGTTTATGTCAAAACTCAATTTTGTAATATAATGACAATTAAAAATGTTTAATTATTATATTCACAACAAAATAATAAAATGACAAATTATGGTCACAAATATTTTATCACATTAATAAATTGGAAAAAGCTCAAAAGATTAGCTGTCAGATTGGGAATCAACCCTTTGACCTCTCATGTTTCAGAATATTAATCTTCCACTAAGCTAAGTTTAGGAATGTATAAAAATGTTTTGCTATTCACATCAATATCACAGCTGCAGATCGGCTCCTCTCTATTACAAATTTCTTCCACTTTATAATCATTTTTAGTGATAATTATAGACAAGTAAAAGGTATATAGTTTTGTCGCCAAGAGTACTGTTAATTATATACACAAAACACTCCTAATATATTATTTTACGGAATATAAATGGCATTGCCTTGTAATGTAACAATTATTATTTTAGTTAAAAATAAAATCAATAGTTAATTAAGTAAGAATATCTACAAACACATTTATATTATTGATTTAACTAAATTATACTGTAATAGATAAAGAAGATTGGGAGAACTAAAGATGGTGAAATGGAATCAAGAAGACCAATTAATGTGGAAGCAGTTGTTAAACGTAATAAAACTACATAAAGTTGGGAAAGAAAGGTTAAGTAAAAATACAATTTAAAATCATTCACCTATTAGTAAGTAATAAAATTATAAAAATTAATTGAATATTTAAAAATAAATGTAGTTCCTTAGTTAAAAATGTCAATTAAAATAAGTTTTTATTGGAACAATTTAATTTAATTTAAAATTATTTAATAAGTATATTTAGGTCTAATACGAGCAGAATAAAATCTTGCTAATACTGTAATTTTTTTTTTTTTTTTTTTTTTAATTAATATAATAAAACATCTAATGGTTATATAATCAATAATCTTGATACGCAATACAATTTTAAGATACAATATATGTGCGACAGATGCATATAAATAACCTAATAATTATGATACTATATGTGTTAATTTGAACATTAATGTTTTTAATTAATTAATATAGTTTTTTTTTCTTTATAGAAATTCAATCAATCCTTATTTTTTTCATTAACTGTAAAAACTTTAGTTTAAAAATTATGAGATTATATGTTAAAATTCTAAAATTAAATTGATTTAAATAAAAAACTTACTATATTCAAAAGTTATAAAAATAGTTATTAATTATTGTATTATAAACCTATAAAAAATAAAAATAAATTTTTAAATAAAAAATATTTAGTTCATAATTATATACTAAGTAAAATTATGATGGCATAAAAGTTTATTATAGTAAAAATGATACCTATAAGCACTAATATTGAAAATTATATTTTACATAATATGTTATTAAATAATAATTTACTAAACATTAATTTAAAATTTGAACATAAAACAATTTGATTTATTTTTAAAAAGAAACAGTTCAGAATAGTACATAATACATTTTAAAAATTATAGTAAAATCTAAACAAAAAAAGTTATTTTAACATATTACTCAAACTATCTAAATAAATAAATTTAGTATATCATAATTTTTATCTAGTTAAATATTTATTTGGAAATTGTATGATTAATTATACTAAGATAATATTTGATTCATCCTTATTACATCCCTCTTTATAAATGAAAAAATAAATGGTTATCATCAGAATAGAATGAATTTATGAAATAACAACACTTATGAATTTTAATTTTAATCAATAATACTCCAAATTAATATTAATGAATTTCTTAAAAAACTAATATTATTTATTAATGAAATAAATAAAACATATTTAAATATTTCACTGAAATAAACAATAATTTTCTATAATCTAATATAATTAACTTTAGTTGATAAGAAAATTAAATAAATACTCCAATAAGTCTTAGGACTAAAAAAAATTTAATAATTAAAAAGGAACCTACATATAAAATACATTTTATATAAATAAAATCATTAAATGAAAATCTAGTTTATCACAATTATATACTACTTACCCGGAACTTCAGTTTTGTCTGGATCATCATCATCATCAAAATCGCTTCCAGAATCCGGATTTTTTTCAGTCTTCACAATCGTGTCTTTGGATGCCTAGAAAACCCATCAAACAACTTAGAGCAGATTTATCATAGAGCACTGGGAAGTAAAGGATGAGAGAAAAATAACACTTCAAGTCAGTCATTGAGAAATCATCCAAGTGACAAAATGTAACAAAATAACACATACGAAAGTATAATTGCAATCGGGACACTAACCATTATTTCAGACGGGTCCATGTACAGAGGCACGGTGAGTAATACTACGGAAGCTAGCCAGAATACAAGATTTCAGCGGAGTCGGCGTCGGTATTGATTAATCGCAGTGGATCATAATAAAAAAATTCTGCTGCAAGCTTATTGGTGGAACCGCCCTGATGATACAGGAACTTTAGCCACACAACGTACTGTTGAAAACTACACTGGTTGAAATACACAAAACGTCGTATTCGCTACATGAACGAGAAAACTGTTGTGTTTATAAAATTCGGGGCTCCCGGGAAAAAAATATAAACTTCAACTTATTTGTCAGGACAAAAGAATACAGGTTAGAATCAATACAATAGTTTTGCCGGAAAGAGAAAAACAACGCAGGTTGCCAGATGCTGCGAATAATACAACGCCCGTCGCGCTACTGCTGCCGAACGCCTCCGCATTGTTGATACACCGCTGCCGACCGCTCCGTCGATAGCGAGCCTTTACTTAATAGTGTTATGACAAAAGTACCATACATTGGTTGAATTCTGCTAGAAAACTTAAAACTTGAACTACATAAACGACGCTCGTTTTGGAGTCACATCATATTGATTGAGATTTTAAATGAAAAGCAAGTAATAAGAAATAAAAACACCCCAATTATTCTATATAAATATCCATTTAGAAAATATTATCACAGTAAAATTACATACATTAGTATATATCGTTTAATCTATTACTAACTAAATTAAACGTCAAGCATTTGAAAACAAATCAAATTTTTAAAACAAAATATAATACGGACCTTATTGAATTGTATAGCCTTGAATGTACTTTTAGTTCTAAGGTTGGCAACACGTTAAAATTAACCGAAAAAATGATAACATCGTACCACCAATGAGACATCGCGTTATGGCGTTTAATTTACTTTAGATAATTTGTTTACTGCTATTTCTCTAGATGATTTTTCAAACAAAAAAAAAAAAAAAAAAAAAAGGAAACTTTCTTGTTAAATTAGGTACTATCCATAAATTTTTTCCTTCGAAATGTAAATATTAATAATTAATATTAACCGTAGAATTCAGAAATAGTTGGCTTGTAAAGTAACGCTTTTAGTTTTTAAATTACTGTTATATAGTGAGTCGAACAACCTCCAAATGGTTAAAAGTTAGTATTAATCTTTACCAAATAAATGTTTTTAAATAAATGTGTATGACGTATCTTTTTTATTAATTTATAATATTGTAATAATTTAGAAAAAAGTAAGCAGTTAAACAATCAAATTGACAATGGAACTAATAAGCCTTTTCATGGATCAATTAAAAAATATTGTACTGAAAAAATTAGTATTTCATTATTTATTGATATTTTAAATATTGCTTAAAATCATTATAAAGCTATTTTCATAGATTCTTTAGAATTTAAGTATATTTTTTTGCTTTTCATTAATTTTGCTATTTATTATATTCACTTTGTGTAGTGTAAACAATGTTATTATTAGTAACTTCTAATACACATAATGTATATGATTATAATATTAATACTCAATAACCTAACACATGTTTAATAATTTGCTTTTTTAATCCTTATGCTCGATTTTTTTTTAAAATATCTTTATTATTATTCTTGTATAGTTTAATTCATCAGAAATTTTTTAAAAATTCAACTGATTCATAGCATTTAAAAATATAAATTTTTTTCTTCTTTCTGTTTTATATATTTTTCATACATTTATGTATTAAACATAATCATTGATTATTATTGGTTATATGTGATCTGTAAGATTTAATATATAATTAAAAAATAATTAACTATGCATTTAATGTTTAGATTATCAAATTCTTTATTATTCAAATTAAATTGACCATTAAATTTATAAAAATTATGGTTAACATATAAGGTTAAAGTGGTTGGTATTTTAAAAAGATTGCACATGTTATTTGTTGATAACTTAAATGTAAGGCCATAGTGATTTTATATTAACTTAAACTAGGAAAGGTATAGTTTATTTATTTTTAGGATAAAATAAATATTATAATAATGTATTCATTTATCTGAGTTTCTTATCCTATTGTCTATAAATTATCACTCATAGTTAAATTTTAGAAATTATGAATATTACATTAATCATTAGGTAATTGTATGTTAAAAATATATTAATCTCTTATTGATGCAAATATTATCATTGGAAGTTTTTTCTGTTAAAATTTCTTAAACAAAAATTTAATTTTTAACAATAAAATGATAACTTAAAAGATAAACTTCGAATATATAATTTGGTTTTTGATAAATTAATCATGTATACCAAGATCTAATTTTTCCATCAGTCCAAATTATATTTAGCTACACAATATGAAATTAAGAAGAAAAATATTTATCATTATTTCATTTATAGAACTCTGTATCTTATTATAATATATAATATAATATATTATATGCAAACTTACAAAGTAACTATTACATATTTTTATATTGAATAGGAAAACTAAAATTAATAAAATAATGATTGTGTAATAATAGTATTAATATTATTTATTATATGACAAAATGTTATATAATTGAATTTAATATAAAAAAAAAAAAAAATGCATTTTTGAATATTGCATTCTTTAAATAGTATAAATAATATTTAACCCTTCATCAATTATGTTGTTCAATCTTGCCCGAGTAGTCACTCATCTACATATGTAGAACAATCACAATTTTTGTCAATTAAAATTTATTATTAAAACATAAATAAATGATTTGCTTAAATTATTGAATCCTCTTATTAAATGTATATTTTTTATCAAATTATACAATATTAAATAATTTAATACATGTAAGGGACTATGTATGGATATACATAAAGTATCATAACTAGGGTTTGGAAGCTGTAGGAGCTACAAAAGACAAAATATACATGAAAAAAAAAATGTAATAAATATACAAAACAAATTTTTTTTATGTTTTTATTAAATTCAAAATTTTTTAAATGATTTTTTTGGATTGTAATTTTTTCAATCTAAAAAAAAAACAGAATGAAAGTTATTTGAAAAATTATATTTATTTGTTATTAATTCAATAAACATACCTATAGATTATTGTAACTGTCATACTTGTAAACATATTGCATTTGAACAATCAAAAATTTCTTAATATTTTCCATATCAAACGAACGACGATTGTTTGAAAGTATATTTTTGTAGCGCGAAAAACTTCTTTCAACATCCGATGAAGTTATGATTAAAGTATAATTGTATATAATGTTAGTATTAATAATACACTTGTCATATTGCTGTTAGATTAACGATAACGTCGATAATATTATATAATGTTCACCTTAATGCTATAATGATAAATACACTCCGTTAAATCAAATTGATATAACGACGGTAAAGATGGCGACTAGTACGTTAAATAATCGAAAATAAAATGAAAGAAAACTTAAAATTGTTTAGAAAATATTACACAGGCATAAATATCTCATGAAAATTAAGAAATATGCATAAAAAGAATGAGAATTTAAAAATATGTGCTTTTTTCTAAAATTGCCAAAATATGCAAAAAAAAAATACATTTTTAATTTTTGTATTCAAACTCATTTTTGTATGGAACGGATTTCTAGCTTGGTCTGCTATAAATTGAGAGTATACAGAAAAATAAGCAACTCCTACAACTTCCGAGCTCTAATCATAACCAATACTAAAGATCAGTGACGTATATATGGGGATGGTTTCCATGTTCAAACCCCCACCCTAGGGCCAAAAAAATAATTGTTTTATTATTGATGATGTACAATATACTCGTAGTTTCATTATTACGCTTTGAACTTAAAATATACAACTATACAAATATTATTATAATTAAATAATTATATTGATAGGTGTTTGAAAAGTTTTGTTAACTATGCTGTTTTTATATTCCAATAGCTATTAATTTACTGTAATGTAAAAGTAAACTGTAAATTGGTAAAAAAGTTGTATAAAATAATATCTATTTATAGCAGTTATTTATCTTATTTATCTGTGCAACAAAAAAAAAAAGATATTGATTATTTTTGTTAAACTCCCTTCCCAGAGCAAGATTGAATGTACGCTACTGCTAAAGAAATACATATACACTTACCTAAAAATATAATAAATATTTATAAAACATATATATTATATATAATGTTGTATAGAATATAATTTATAACGTCAATATAAATTTAAAATAGTTCAATTAGTACAAATGACACAAATTCAAAATGTGAAATTTAATATAAAAAATTATGTTTCTGAGTAGTTGTGTAATTTACAATAGTAGAACATAAAACTTAATTGCTTGATATACATAACTATACTGAAAGATTAACTACAAAATCTTAAGAGTTACCAATAATATTATGTCATTCATTCAAGGTATCAATCATTAGGATAATATAGTTTCAAAACCATCTGAAATTAAATTGATTATCAGTGTACTACTATAGTAGAACGTGCGACTGATGTAGAATTAATACACTTTGAATTCTAATTTTAAGTTTAAGTTTAAAAAATCAAGAATATAAAATAATATATTTAGTACAATATATAGTTGAACATTTGAGTAAACTTATTGAATGTTTCATAAAGGAAATAAATTCCAGTTTAATTTAAGATGAATACAGTATAATAGAGCTTAACTTTTTAAAGCTTAAAAATATAAATTTGAATTTTATTCATGCCAGAACCTATCTTAAACTTACATCTAATACAACCAAATCAATGATGTTCATTTTATTTAAAATATTTAATTTTTAACCATTTCAATAATAATGAATATTAATAATAATAATAATATATTAATATTACGTTTGTAAATAAATATCATTTAATCTTTGTCACATATTTGTCTATATTAATTATATACAATTTATTTGAATTTTATAATCTTTGAATATATTTATAATGTATTTATATATCTTCTTCTTCTTGGTGATATTTGGTCTTCAAGACCTTATCATCTAACTTAATTGCCTCCAACTTTCCCTGTCTAATGATATTATTTTCTAGTCTTCTCCTGGTCTCACTTTTTCCATATCTTCTCTTACCTTGTCTTCCTATTGTAATCTTGGGCGTCCCAGTTGTTTTTTTCCTTGTGCAGTGTTTTCTAGTACTGTTTTCAACAGTACAGATCCTTCCTAACAGCTTGTGTGACCTGCCCACATGAGTCGTCTCATGGTGATGTCTTGCACGGTACTTGGGTTTTGATCTAGTACTTTTAGTTCTCTATTTTTTCAAATTCTTTATTCTCTAGTATTTTCGTCTTTACATGGTCCTTATAATTTTTCGAGTACTTTCAAATATATGTGTATTTATATATCTACATTTTATATTACAATTGTATATTTTATTTAAATTTTAAAAACTTTCATTGCTTTATTAACATCAATATTTTATGTTTCATAACATAAAAACTATCTTGAAGATTTATCTTTTTTATAATATACTATAGAAAACCTAAACTTGAATTTTAAATTCTAAATTATTATAATTTGTGTAAGTATGGGCTTATAAACGTAGATTTTAAAGTTCAAAAACTATAATAAATTAGAATGGTCTGATTTTTAAACTTTAAAAATAATTTTATTTTTTATTAAATTGAAATGGTATAATGTAGTGTAGTACAGATTGCATGCATTTATTTGTGTTACCAATATTTTTATAATTTACTCAAAATTGAGTTTTAATTATATTTTTAATTTTTCTAGAAAAAAAATAAGCAAACAACCCTTAATAATAAAATTAGAAAAAATGAATATCTAAGGAACAGAAAAAAAAATATATCTACAAATTGTACTTCAAATATTTTAAATAAAAAATGTATGTATTTTCTTCTTAACTATTAAAATGAAAATAATTTTTAAAACTTTATATTTTTAGATACAATAAATATGTATCTAATATTTATTTATTAACTTATCAAATTTAATAAATATGTTCAAAGAATAATATTATTATAAAACTTTTTTTTAAGATAATAAAAAAGAAAATTACTCATTAAATGTTCAGAACAACATAACATTCTATGAAATCAAACCATTAAGTCCTACTAAACTTTCAATTAGTGTTAAAAAATTTTACAATAATGTAAGTGCATTCAAATTAATAAATATATTGCATGAAACCACTAAAAATATAATTTTATGATTATAATATTTTACTGATCCAGAATAATTTCAAACAATATGAAGACAATTTACATTTATACAACAAAAATAAGGTTCATATAAAGGAAACTACAGCAGTTATTAACAATGAAGGTTAACACAAAATTTAAATTTGAAATTTTGATCTTTTAACTAATAATTTTTTTAAATATTAAATTATAGATGGTAAACATTTGTCAAATGGTGATAAAAATATAAGTAAAAAAAACTACCGTTCAAATGAAAAAAAAAAAAAAGGGTCTCATAAGCCATATGATTTGATTCCACGACTAAATATAGGTAAAACTAAAATTATAGATGAATATAACTTTATACAAGAAGTTTAATTTTATGATTATTGTTGTATGAATCATTAATTGATATATAAATAAATGTACGTATATATTTATTTTAACAGAGCAGTATAGCAACAACAAAAAGGCTAATAATAAAACTAAATCTGTGGAAATATTTAGTAAAGAATGTAACTTTGATGATGAAACATATTTGAATTCATTCACACAAAGTACGTTTTTAATTTAAAATGTCATGCTTATAAATATATTTAATGTTTATATGTATTGAAAATAATAGGAAATGAAACTCAGACAAATGAATATCTTGTGAAAGACTACCAAGTAACGCATTCTACTATTAAAGATCTATCCATATCTGTTAAACGATTTTATAAAAATGTAAGTTGATGATTAGTTGTAATATGATTTTTTAACTAAAGCAAATCAAACTAAAAAATAAAAAAGTTGATGATTAAAAAAATGTATATTTATTATTAATTCCAGTATTTGAATAAATATTAAATTATTTTAATAACTGTGATTTTGTTTTATATTTTATATTTATATTATTTTTCAATAGTTTCTGTGCCAGTTATATAATTAATTAATTATTCATACTTAAAAAATATAAGCAGGCATTTGTTATATATATTGAATAACTTTTGAATTTTTGTTTAATTTAATTAGCTATTTTTAAAAATATTTCATTTATTTTAACTAATATATTTGTGTTTTTTTATTAGAAGATTCCATCTGCAACTAATGATGTTGACAGAATCAACAAGGATATGCCACTTATTTCGGATACTACTTTTAACTCCAGTAAAAACTTAATTCCACTCTTCCAACTTTATTGTAGTTTTGTGCAGTTGACAATCAAAATTTAATTGGGCTAATGAGTGTTGTCAGTTATTTAATATTATATGAAAAAGTTATACAGTATGTAAATTAATTGGAAAGTCAGTAGTTATTACTCCTAATATAATGATATTGAAGTTCCGTTTTTTTAATATAATATGTGACTTATGGCCCATTTTTTACCACGGTTAAAAAAATCTAAAATTCGAAACCGCCAAAAAAAATTTTGATATTTTGAAAAATTTCGAAAATAGCCACTTTGTAGAATTACTTATAAGTTACTCACAGAAAAAAAAAATTGAAATCTATTGAACTTTGAATGAATGATTGCATTTTATATTTTCAAAAAAACAGCAAATTGTAAAATTGTATGGTTTTTAAACTTTTAAACAGATAAATAATATGATAATAGGCAAAGAAGTACACACAATTCATTAATATTTTTTGTAATGTTTTTGTTTTTTCCTGATTATTTTTGAGATCTCATTCGTTCAAAATTCAACAAATTTTAAAAAAAAAAAAATTTCTCTAAGTAACTTATAAGTCATTATACAAAATGGCTATTTTCAAAATTTCTCAAAAAAATGTATTGAAAAATCAAAAAAAAAAATGGTGGTTTTGAATTATGGATTTTTTTTAACCATGGTAAAAAATGGACTATAAGTTACATTTTATGTGTTAAAAAAAATGGAACTTTAATATCTGCATTATATTAGGAGTAATATCTTCTGACTTACCAATTAATTTATATAGTGTATACCACATATAATAATATCAGAACTCGCCTCATCAAAATATATAAATAATTTGGGAGTTTTGTATTAAAAAATGTTGCACATCACTGCTATATTGTACTTATAGTAGCCATAGAGAAATACATTTTTTTTTTAAACAGTTTTATGAATTTCAATATTTTATTTAACATACATTATCAATGAATTTTTAATATTTGGCTACTATATTAAAAACGAATATCTTTCTTTCTAATAAAAATATATAAAAATTTTTTTTTTTTTTTCAGAAACTGATTTTAATCAATCTCCTATGTCATCAAAATTGAACAGCAGCCATAAAATAAGGTACATCGTTCAATGTAAATTATAATTTTGTTTTATTATTTATATAATTCTTATTGAAATCTTTTTATCAAAAACTGGCTATAATTTACTTCTATTTCTTATACATTAATTATACTCATGTTTAAATATATAACATTAATTTATATAGATAAATTATAATTAAAAGGTAAATAATTGTTATTATGTTGAAACAATTAAAGTACTACTGATTAATTTTTAATTTTTATAGTTTAAATTTGAAGTGTATAAGTAATACTAATGATAAGCAACAAAAAGTTACTGCATTTTTTCCTATTCGAAGAAGCTCTCGAAAAACAAAAAATATAGTAAATGAAGAAAAACAATTAGCCTTAGAAAAAGCTATTGCTTCTCAAAATGAAGATGGATTAAAAGTAATAAATTTTAATCTAAATTTATATATTCTTTTTATATTCCTTTATTTTAATTTTTTCTACAGATTACCATGTTTCCTAATAAAGGACGTGGCATAATAGCTGGTAGAGATTTTACACGTGGTGAATATGTTGTTGAATATGCTGGAGAATTAGTTAATTTAGAAGAAGCTCGGAGAAGAGAAAGTATTTATTCTAAAGATACCTCAACTGGTTGTTATATGTATTATTTTAAATATGGTTCTATTCATTACTGGTAAGTGAATGAAGAATTATTTATTAGTAATTAATTATTCATTGATTAATTATAAATGCAATCTTATAGTATTGATGCAACAACTGAAAGTTCACGACTTGGCAGACTAGTTAATCATTCAAGATTTGGTAATCTTGGACCTAAAGTTATAGAAATATTAGGATTACCAAGAATTGTATTAATTGCAAAATCTGATATTAAAGAAGGTGAAGAACTCACTTATGATTATGGTGACCGTAGCAAAAAATCTCTTATTTATCATCCTTGGCTTGCTTATTAAAATTATTCTTTAATATAAATAAATCAACTATAATATTATTCACTGCCAATATGATATAAGACCAATAAGTTAATTGGCTCTATAGATTTAAATTTTTTTAATTTGTATACATTTTTCTTTTTTTTTTTTTTTAAAAAGATTAAATGTTAATTACCAAATGTAAATGCTGAAAATTATTTTGTTTTATTCTTAGTCTTTTTTTTTTTTAATATTTTTATAATTTTGTTCACTTAGGCTCATCATAATTAATTGTTAATTCAGTTTAAGTAGTTAATATTAAGTGAAGACAACAGTGATCTACATTCTTGTTTTTGTCTGTTTGGAGGGCAGATTATTTCTGATACGAATATTTTGACTTTTGACCGGTAACAGAGTAATTCTGTCCTTCTCACCGGCAATCTTATCCCATCATTTGACCCTTGTTTAGTTCATAATTTAATATATATGTAATTGACTCGAGTTATATTTAAATGTCAATATTTTACTAAGTAATTTTTATTACACTTGTATTATTTTTAATAGTATGATCTATTTTAAAATTTACACAAATATTCATGCATTATTTTATGAATTGCTCATTTTAAAAAAATACAAATAATAAATTAAATACATTGGTTGTATTAGTTTCCATATTATTTATCATTGTGATATATCTGTGAGTTATGCATTGTTTTATTTTAATCTTGAAATGTTCAGGTATAAAACATTAAACTTATATTTGTCATGAAATTGCCATATTTTTTTTTTCTTGTTATTAAAATAATTACTTTTAAGAATATAAAATAATTCTATTCAATATTTAAATGAACTACCTTTTTTTTAACTAAAATGTTTCTATTAATTTTTTATATAAAATTTGTTAAATGTAATTTATTTGGAAAGCTCTGACCAAATAACCCATTTCTATTGCATATATTTTATTTTATTTATAACTGTTAAGTTTTTTATTAAGACTGTACATTAATTATTATTTATTTGTGTTTATTTTTTTGAGACTGAAAGGTTCATTATCATAAAAATTTAATTAGAAGTTTTTTTGTTGATCAGATATGCATTGGCTTCAAAGCTATTAAAACCTAAGTCAATTTTAAAAAAATTACAATGTTTTATCAACTACTAGTTAATCTCAATAATATTATTGTACATAGCAATAACTTGTGTTCTTTATGTTTAATGATTTTAAAAATAATTTTTTTTTTAAGATATTTTGTTATGTTGTTAATACTGTAATCATGTATTTTTAACCATCGTAACATTTATCAAGACTGATAAATTTGCATGACCAATAAAATGTACAAATTGTAAAAACTTGTTTTATTGAATTTTAACTTCAAAATCATATTATTAATATAATCATTATTTTCATCTTTTAAATTTAAGTTTGCATTCATACATTAAGAGTTCTGTAAATGTGACCGTAAAAATATGTACCAATTTGGGGTAATGACGTTCCAAGTAGCATACAAAAAATGCAGTCATTCCAATCCATCTGCCTTCGCACTATCACTAAATCCCCCTGGTTTGTTAGTAACAAAACCCTACACTCAGACCTGAAAATAAACTACGTAAACCAAGTCACGAAAATCGCTTACCAAAACTTTACAAAAAATTTAGCTCCCATATTAACCCCAACATTAGCTTTCTTGCTACACAACACATCCCGAACAACCCCCCTCGTAGACTCAAACGTAAATGGGTTAGAGACCTTCTCCATTAATTCAAGTAGGTAGCTCCATTGGGAGCCCTCCTACCTTGCGGAGTAAACCTCCGCATCACTTATACTTATTGTGCTGAATTGTATAATTGTATATTTCATATTTTTAAAAAAAAAAAAAATAAATGTGTTTTTGTACTTTCCATTTTCCTCAGCCCTCGTTAGTCGTAGAACTATGATTTCTTCACCAAAATTAACTTGAGAAATTCATCTAAATAACTACGTGTCAGATTTTCGATTTTTTTTTTTTAAACCAATGATATATGCATTTTAAATTTTCAAAATGTTTAAAAAAATATATAAAAAAAGATAGTAAAAGATATCAAAAATCTGACACGTAGTTATCTAGAACAACTCAAATTTATTTTGGTGTAGAAATCATGTTTCTACGACTAACGAGGGCTGAGGAAAATGGGAAGTACAAAAACATGTTATTATAAGTAAAATATAAATGTACAGTCGTCAAGTGATGCTCTGCTGATTATAGCGACGGCGTTGAAAACACTGTTCAAACCACCAACCCGCGCTTGAGTTGAACCATACTCCACCATAAATCAAAACTGGTTTTCATATCGCAACTAGGTCACTTGCCGCTTATAAATAATTATAAATAGTCAATGCAATAACGGTATAGAATTTTATTCTTCTTTTATTTTTTTTTTATTTTGTATTTATTAGTTAAGCATCAACTACATAGGTTATTAGCTTACAGGCGTTAGTTTTTACATTAAATAATTATATGTTGTTGTATAATTCAATTTTTTTTTAAGAATAAAATTACGCTTTGAAAGTTTGAAAATGGACCAATTGCTTCGTACAGGTTGTCTGGGATGTTGAAATCTTTTCTAGCTTCGTTGAAGTTTGAGCAGTGGATAATGATATGTTTGATAGAGTAGTTTGTATTGCATGTTGGGCATAGAGGTGGATCTGTCTTTGTCATAAGATGTCCGTGTGTGAGTTTTGTGTGACCGATTCTGAGTCGATTAAGAATTACTTCATTTTTTCTGTTTAGATTAGTGTACTTCGGCCAGAGTACGATAGAGTGCTTAATTTCTCTTAATTTATTTTCCGCGGTCATGTGCCACTGTGAGTTCCACAGATCAATACAGTATTTGTTTATATTTCTTTTTATATCTACAAGTGAGAAAAAAGGAATAATTTCACTGTCAGGACTATTGACTGCATTTCTAGCCGCTTCATCTGCCATTTCATTTCCCTTTATGTTACAGTGACCTGGGGTCCATATAAATCTGATTTCTTTGTTTGATTTGGAAAGAAGGTTGCTGATTGAAAGAGCCAATGGTTCTGATAAGGTTTTGGATTGTAGATTTGTTAAGGCACTAAGTGAGTCAGAACATATCTTTTATTATTATTCTGTTCAACATGTTTTACAAAAATTAAAAGTCTCTAAACATAAAATTGTTAAAAATAGTGACAAATAATCAATTCTAAAAATTATTTTATTAACCTTGTAGAGAATTTGAAGACAAATTTAATTTTTTCAACTTTGAACAAGAAAATATGAAATTTATATCGGTTATAACAAAAAAATATTTGGCACATACGAGTAATAAATTAATTAATGATATTCTGTTATATAAGGTGACCAGCGTAATAAATGTAGATACAACGTAATTCGATAACTTTTAATGATTCACACAATAAATCCTTTGATTATTTAGATAATTTTCTTTTTGCTGTTTTTGTTTATATATTTTCCAAAATATTTTGAAGTTCTAAAATATCATTTACCAACAGTCTCCTTCCGTACTGGAGGTTGACAAGTTCTGAAAGCAAGCATTCTGTATAAAAACTGAAAATAAAATTTGATACATAATTACATAAAAATCTAATTACTATAAATTTAAAAACTATCGAATTACACTTTTAATTTTTCAATCATTTTTTCGTACCAGAAAGAATTATCGAAACTAATTTTTTGCCTTTCCGTCCAATTTGCCGAATAAACGACGAAATAACAGAAATTTCGTTTTGAAATTTGCATTTGTTCCTGAAATTGAAAATAGTAACTATGGTTCACTTTTAATTCCATTTTTTTATTTTCACCAAAACGACAGAAGGATAACCGAAATTAAATAATATTATAAGAGTATTTTACATTTTAGCATTTTTGAGCGGAGCGATTATTTATTTATCATATTTTTACAATTATGTGTTTTTTTAAACTTTTTTTTAGTTTTGTGTCTGTGTGAACGATAATAAGTCGAAATAATGCTTTAATTTTCAACTTTAATAACTTTTTTGATAGAAAGGTGAATCGAGTTGGTGCATTGGATAGATCAAAATTGAAAATTTTAAACACAGATTTCAAACGCATCGGGTAAAACCAGAAAATAGAACTGAGGAAAAACAGGACTTTTTACTCAAAATCAGTTTTTAAAAAATTCGATTTTGGTTTTTGGTGTAACCGTATAACTCTAAAAAAATAATTGTATATACCTAAATGAAGTTTTCACTTCATTCACATGAATGTTTATATACATTTTTTATACACTATACATTTGTAAAATATTTAGACTCTTTCGTGATTTTTATTGGTGAAAATTTCAATTTCAATTTGTTTTTTTAATAATTTTCGATAAAAAAAAATTGTACTCGGCCAAAACACTTGAAAATGTTGTACAAGGTTTTTTGTAAGTTGTTATTAGTGTAATTTAAAATAAAAAGTCAACAATATTTGTGTCATGAAAATATACTTAGCAATATAATATTAATATGTAGGCTGAAAGACGGTCTTCGCTCAGAATTTTTTGTTTGTATACATAATAATACACTTAATTTTTTACTTTGTATAGCTTCTAAAAATGTCTTAGTGTCGTTAACTCCAAATGGACATTTAATTTCAACTATAAAATCATCATTGATAAGACCATCTATAAATTATGAAAATACTTTAGTAATATTGATTTAATTAATATTTTAATTAAGTACTTAAGTATATTTTACCAGAAGAAGCTACTAAATAAGGAAAATGTTCATCAATAATCAGTCCACATTCATTTACTTTAGAATTTAATTGTTTTTCCGATGCGACGATAGGTTGTGAATCAGCACTTAAGAAAAAGGGTTCTACAGCAGGTCCGGTTACTTCGGAATTGTGCCTTGAATAAAAATAAATATAAATTATACTAAATTATGTATAATAATGTATGCTTTATTCAAAAATCTTGTTTTAGTTGAGAATTATAAAATGGTTCCTTATTCGAGAACTCAGATTTTTTTTTTTTGATAACTATGCTTTAGCTTTAACTTAAATAGTTAGTAATACTTTTTTCAATATTTTAATTATTCAATTAACTCAATTCCTAAGTCAGTCATCTTCATATATAGTTACTAACTTTTCAGCTGATAATAATTAATTCAATTTAAAAAAAATAAATTTTTTATTTAATTCATTGTACGCTTATTTGCGATTATTTTAAATCACTGATTTAAGCATCAATGATAGGAAAAAAGTTTGAACTTTCATGTTTTCTTTTTCTGAAAACAAGATATCTTTCGTAACTTCTTTATTTGCCACAACTCATCAACTTCTCAGGGTTGCGGACACTAACTCTGCTGCACTAGAAACCAAAAAATATTGCGCTGGTATCTTTCTGGATGTTGCGAAAGCATTTGACACCGTCTGGCATGACGGTATCCTTTTCAAACTTAAAAATATTTTTCCAGCCCCTTTATACCTCATACTTACATCCTATCTTGCCAACCGCTCTTTTAATGTCCGTCATAACTTACAACACTCAAAACAATACCCCATATTTGCTGGTGTCCCTCAGGGCAGCGACATTGCTCCTTTTTTATACACCATATATACTTCGGACCTGCCTACATCTGATAATACGTTAGTTGGAACATATGCTGATGATACTGCCCTATTATCAGTTTCTTCTGACCATCCTACTGCATCTTATCAATTACAAACTCACCTAAATTCTCTCTCACAGTGGTTTGCCAACTGGAAAATAAAAATCAATGAATCCAAGTCCTCTTTTGTGACCTTCTCACTCAGACCTCTAAACTGCCCAGCTGTAACAATCAACAACATCATCATTCCTCATTCAACAGAAGTAAAATATCTAGGTCTTATATTTGACAGACGCCTTACTTGGTCCTTCCATCTTAAAGACAAACGTAAGAAACTTAATTCCAGACTTCACCTGCTAAAACTACTGCTTCGTTCAAACCTCACCTTACCAATAAAAATCATTCTTTATAAAACTCTTCTCCAGCCAATATGGACATACGGTATTGTAATCTGGAGTTCCGCTAAGAACTCTAACAAGAAAACTATACAAGCTTTTCAAAACATCACTCTTCGTCTAATCACTGGTGCACCCTGGTTCGTTTCGAACGAGACCTTAAACTCCGACCTCAAATTACCTTCCATCGATAATACAGCTGCTATCTACTTCAAACGCTTCCACGCCAAACTTCAAAATATTCCCAACCAACTAATCAAAGAGTTAGCTTCACTAACACTTCCAGGTAACCCAACCAGACGCCTCAAGAGGAAATGGTGCCGTGATTTGATAACTTAAGTTAAAGCTTATAAATGTAAGAGGTGTCACAAATGTGTGATTTCCTCCTCATGTTTCTATTCATGGTCAACTGTTGTAAATTATTTATATTACTTATTGTACATACTGTATAGATCGTAATTTTTCAAATAAAGCCAAATTATTTAAAAAAAAAAAAAAACTTCTTTATCAAAAAGTACATTCATTTTTTTTGTCTACTTAACTCATTTGGGAAACGAACCATTTCACAAATACTAATAGCTTTATTTAATATGCAAGGTGGAGCACTGAAACGGCCCATTATCAAAGATAAATTTTCTCAGTATTAATTAAGATAAGAATTCTCACTAAATATTATTAGATGAAAGCAGGGGCATACTTATGGGGGGCCGATGGGACCCGGGCCCCCTTCGAAATGAAGAACACCATTGTTAAAGATTGTTATTTTTAACATGAATATGTCTTAAAACTGGGAGTTTCTGAAAATTTGTCACGAAACTGAAAATGTTGCTTATGCGATAATTTAAAATTTTATATTTATAACATATGTTTATTCTTTTAAGAAAATATGTGGTGAATTTTGAGTGACTCTAAGAAAAAAATTTGTTTATTACAATGTAGTTTTTATACTTATAAAAAATAATAAATCATTAAAAAAAATTGATTTTCTTATTTCTCTGATGGAGTAAAAACAGTCGAGAAGTCTTATAGTGTTAAAGTAATTTTTTCGTAATAGTGTGCTTCCTTCTTCCCTTCCACCCAAAAATCAAATACATAATCGGGCCCCCTCCGAAATGAAAACCTATATACACCACTGATTTGTTAAACGAATAATAATTAAAAATAAGAAACATAAAAATCAACTCGTACATCAAAACACTATAATGCTGTAATTATTATTCAATGGTAATTTTTGTTGAGTAAACTCAAAAATGACACAGAACAATAAAATATTTGGATAAACACACAAGTTCGATAATCATGGATTATATTTCGTCTGGTGAAAACGATAATGATGAAATAATAAAGTATAATGACCAGAAAACAGACGATTGTACTAAAAATCAAAAATTATACCGATAAAAGGATATATACTCGTATGTTTCATCTGCTCTAGCACTGGCTTGCACCCAGGGCCGTATTAGCACATATGCGAAAATATGAGGCTACGATTTTTTTTCAGTATGCAAATTGATATAAAAATTTTTTTTTATTGTTTTTGACAAGTTATATTATGTATGTTTTGAATTAAAATGAATTTTTTTTAAAATGTTTAAAAATTTTTATCGTATAAAAATTTATAATAAGTCATCATAAAAATTAAGATTTAATTTTTATGTTGTAAATATTATTGTTTTTAAAAGCTTAACACTGAATGAAATTCAACACTTCCTTTCCCAAAGAAGTTTTTTAACCATTTAAATACTGGACAGCGGCCATGCAAGGACTAGAGACCTAAGACCAGTGGCGTATCCAGGGGGGGTTAGAGGGTTATAACTCCCCCCGAAAATGTTTAGTGTATGTATATTGTTTATTGATTATAATAAAAACACACAAAATTCTAAAAAAAATGTAATGTTCCATTTTTTATAACCCCCCCTCCCAAAAAAAAAAATTCTGAATACGCCACTGCCTAGGACCTACGATAATGTTAATTCAGGTCTGCTTGCACCAGTACGATTATTAGTGAATTTCTTGTGTACGACGTTGGTGTAGCAGAGCAAAGAAGTGGAAACGCTATTATAGTCTGTGTAGCGAAAAGTATATTTTAAACCGTGGTGTAGGGGATTTTTTAATCACCTTTTTATACGATAAGATATCCTTCTATGTTTCTGATCCTAGTAGTCTGTTAGTTTATTATTTAATATCATTTGTAAACACCACGATTTAAGATATATATCTTAAACCGTGGTAAATACCGGCACGGTTAACCTAGGACCACGGCTATGGATAATATGGTTGTAAATCCACTGTAAAAATGTGAATCATTCAAGTGAAACAGTATAAGTAACTTCTTAAACTAAAAAATACTTTTATAATATTATTTTTGAAATTTTATGTTGGCAACACATTTTATGCTGCCGTCTTTCGATTCCGGTCCTTATAATTTTTCGAACTGTCCTATAAAGTAATTATATTATTTATAAGTAAAAATAATAAAAATAATAAAATATATTAATTATATTATTTAAAGTATTACTCTATGAACTGTCCCCAACACAGATTTAGATAAGATAGTTATCTTATCTATATCTGTGATCCCCAACCTTCTCAAAAGGTATATTGGTTTTCACTGTAGCATACAATGCTCTCTAGGTGATTAATATATTAACTAGGTACATTGGTAATCTATCTATGTCTATCCATAAATCTCATACCATAGAAAATATATTGTGCATCTATTTATTAATCTATGCAACAAATGCAAATTTTCTTAATATTAATAATTTATTCAAACTAATATTATTATAATAATTTATGGACAATGTATACAATAAATGTATTAGTGATTAATCTATTATGATTTATTAATTAATATTATCTATAGCCCTGCCAGGGACTCTGGTTATATCTGATATCTGTGCCAAATCATTTTGTGTTATCTATTTTAATATTTGTAAATTTTAATTTGTGATAAGCCGATTTCACAGAATATTTTTTTGCACAGTTATTTTTTCAATCACTGATCTGTCTTATTAAGAACATAGTTGTAGCACAGAATAGATTAAATAGATTGATCTATTCTGTGGTTGTAGTAAGTATCTTTTTTTTTAATACTTATTCATAACAATCAATTAAAATGTTTGTATTACTAGAATTAATTTCACTATGGCTGCTCCTATGGAACGTATTCAAGCCCTTGAATTAATCGAAAAAGATATTATAACATGTCTACAAAGTGCTGGTCAAGCATTATTGGAGTTGAGCAAAGAAAAGTCCAGTTTGAAACAAGTGGAAAATCAGTCACATCTGTTCTTAAAGAGTTTGGGTAACGTTGAGTCAAAACTCACTGAACAAATAAACTACCTGACTCAAGTATCTACTGGTCAACCCTATGAAAATAGTGGATATGCATCTCAAAAAGTTCTCCAAATGGCTTGGCACCGTCTAGAACATACAAGAAGTAGGGTAAAAGATTTGGAACGCTCCAAAAATAAATATCTTCAAGATCAAGAACAATTGAAAGGAAATGTCTCAAATCTATTGTAATTTGTACTTTTAACAATAATTTTAAATAAGATTAATGAATCATAAAATTAAAAATTATGTGTTCTTATACAGTTTCTAACATAATAACAATCTACAGACACATTGGTTAGTTCTTAAGAGTAAAGAATGGCAAATTCATTTTATTTTTATTTTCAAGTCTGGTTATAAAGTGTCAGTAAATAATAATTAAATGTAATTTTATGTCACAAGTATTAGTAAGTTTGTCGAATAATAATATAAATAAAATTATTTACAATTTTGAATTAAGTACTGTAAATGTAATAATATAAATTAGGAATGAACTTCATGACATCATCAAAAATTTGCTATTGAATTAAAACTATATTCTATAAATTTGAGCATTTTATTGTTTTTTAATTTGAGCCACGATTCCAAAATTAAATATGTTTCAGATAATAGCAATCCAGACACATCCCCAAGGAAAAGGGGCTACCACTCCCTATAGAAATTTTTAAATTTTTGTTTCTAAAATAATAACTGATAAAAGTTGTAATAAAAAAAAGATAACAAAAATATATTATGGAAGATAATAGTACTGACCATAGACCATAGGCGGCACTTGGGGATAATTCTAGGCACAGATATCTATATTATACTAGATAACGAACTACCGATGTTTTCCATTGAGAGAAGTGAAGCCCAGGGACGCAAGATTATCATATGTCCACCATGTTTTCGGTTGGGAAAACAATATTACTTTACACTATATAAAATAGTTGAACACACTAAATTATTAAATTAAACATTTTTCATTACGTTAAATCAAAATTAAATTTCTTTATAGAATTGAGAATATTAATTTAAAATTGCACTATTGATTATTTACATAATGCATATAATATATATTGACTAGCTGACCCGTCAATGCTTTGCTATTGCTAGATTTCAGTACATTTATATATGTTTAGGAATATGTAAAAAGTTTGATATGAATTATATCAGATATTTAATTTGATTAATTTGTTTAGTATAATTTTATATATACGTGTGGAATATATTTGTTTCATTATGATGTATGATGTATGATTTTTATTTTTTTTGTTAATTATATCAATTTGTCTTAAGTATTAAATATTTCTGGATACACCACGTTAAGTGTCTCACCTTCTGGGGCCATCACAAATAGATTTTATTTGTTTGTGACACGTGACAGAGCTACGTACAATTGTCCATGGGAAAAACACTGGACGGTTAAGTCTAAACCTGCAACGTTTAATGTTTGACCTTGTGCCTTATTAATAGTCATTGCAAAGCTTAATTTCACGGGAAATTGGAGCCGTTTGAACTGAAATGACAAATTGGTTGGTATCATTGGTATTCTAGGAACCAAGACCATTTCCCCAGCTCTGCAGCCAGTAAGGATTATACACTCAAGCAGACAGTTTTTTAAAGACTATTTGTAATCTTGTACCGTTGCATAATTTAGGTGGACTTAAGTTACGAAGTAAAATTATAGGAGACCCTATTTTTAGAATTAATTTGTGTGGTGGGGTCCCTGAAGGTGATAAAGAATTTAAAAATTCAGTTGGATAATGTATCGCCTCCTCTGCATCTAAAACAGTGTCAATGGAATAGTAAACTTTTGTTGGTGCGTTGAATTTTAACAGTATCATGTCATTTTTTTCTTCACCAAATATATTAGCTTTATTAATGAGAGTCAATAGTTTTTGTATTTTCAAATGAAACACCCTATTGACTATGTCATATCTGTCTTGCGACTGTGCGTTAGGATGAAGATTAGTTTTAATCTCTTCCCAGTTTTGATTACATGTTACAGTGATAAATAGGTCAGGTTTGCCATAATTTTTTACATAGGTCATTGCGTCTTGTGTCTTTTTGTGAAGATATCGTGGTCCACCAGTAAATGATGATGGTAGAATTACTAATTGTCCAATTTCGGTACTCGGCTCATTTGAGTTCAAGGCATCTTGCAAATGTATATAATTTTCAGCTCGTAATGTTGTCTGATTGTTTCGTATGTACGCTAAACGTTCTGATTCTATTTTAGAATATTGATCGACTAAATATTGGTTTAACAACATACCATATCTGAGTAACATATTGCAATTGTTTTGTCTTTCCATAATGCAATAACAGTAATAATTCATACACGAAACGGTTTTTTGTAATGGAACTCCAGTATGAGGGTCAATTTGATGAATATCGATAGAATATCCATCTTCACCACGACATAACATTAGAGGATATTGCAGGCTGTCATAAGACCTGTGAATTTCAGATATTTTTTTAAGATTATCGTCTCGGCTACACAGTACAATATCTCGTTTATGAAATTGTTGGCCAGATATCACTACGGCTACCTCGCTTGTAGATGGCGCATTATAACGTCCTCGATGTTCACCTGTTGGTACCCTGCTAGCGTGTATGACTATATTGTAATCGGGAACATTTGGAGGGACACTTTCAATGGCTGTTTTAAAAGATTGTATGTATATATTATGTGAGTGCAACATATCTTGTAATGACCTGATAAAAGAGCTATCTAACAGTTTCCTACAATCTATGTTACATCGAGTTGTCACTTGAGTTTCAGGATCGGCAATGAAGTATATTTGCAAAAATTTGTATTCGTCAGATCTATTCGGTAGTAGACTGCCAGCCAAATGATATACCTGGCCTTGTACTTTAAAAGTTGGCATAAAATTACCTTCAACTATTTTACGACTTTTAAATGATGTCATTTGAAAAGCATTATTATAGCGACGTATGTTACGCTTGAATTCTCCATGTTTAGGATGATCACCTGTAAGGAGAGAATTCAATGGTTCAGGAGGAGGACAAATCTCTACTAATTTAATTTTACCATTTGAACAACACATTCCTTTAGATTCATCTTTCCATTTTAGAGCTAAACAATATTGACAAACAATAGACATTGCACCTAATGTAACCATCGGATCATTTTTGTAATCAATAGTAAAATCGTAATTCATTGCAGAGTATTCTTTATTAAACCATGCATTAACATTTCTTAAATTTTTATTTCTTTCACGATTTTGTAAAAGTCTATTGTTTCATTCAACAGAATTTTCATTGCTACGTACTAAGTGTACTCTTTAAGCATTTGCCGTACTACGTCCTATAGTAGACTTTCGATTAGGCATTGTTTGATTGCCGAAAGGCTAACAATACAATAGGTGGAAAGGTAAAATAGGATGGTAATATAAAACACTACTATTTTTAAATAATAATAATAATAACAACTATGGTGTACGGCGAGCGATCACACGTAACACGCAGTAACTGCCTAGACGACTTGGTAAACGACTGACGACTAGAGGTGGGTCGGTCGCGACTGACCGAATCAAAATTAACGAATCATTCAAACGACCGAATCGCGATCGAATGATTTACCAAAAAGTATTCGGTCTTTCGGTCAAATCGATCTTTAGGTCGTTTGACAGTTTTAAATGAAACTTTTCTTTCAGATGGAATCGGATCGGATTGATTCGAATGGAATTTATTTTTTAACACACTGTTAAGTACGTTGGTCACACTTACGAGTTACGACATTTTCACTTACAACTTGCAGTATAATATTTATAGTATTTATAGTATATTATACAACCAGCAATGCTGTCATACTGATATTATTATCACGTATTACGTATTTACATATTATTATTTATTAATATTATAATATTATGTCTACCTCACGACTCACGAGTCACGAGATAGATTCAAATCGCCCATCACTAAAAATTGTTTTATTGATCATTGATCCATGTTTAGGTAATCAGTTATCAGTTATCACTAATTATTCACTAATTTACTAATCACTAATCAGTAATCAGTAATGATAATCAATACTATATAATTTGTTAAGTATTTATAATTTATTATTTCGTGACTCATGTTTTACTGTGTTACTTCTTACTAGTTACTAATTTAGTATAGGTTCCTACGTTATTATATTGTATTTTATATATTATAAGGCGGTTAAATGTTAATTAATTGTTAATATTGTTAGTTACACTTATAACCACAGAGGAAAGAGCTAAGGATGCATGCCGACGAAATGACAAATACCATTTTGTATTTAATATGCATTCCGAACCATGCATATAGGCGGAGATTGGGGGGGGGCTTAGCCCCCCCCCCAAACAGATCGAAAGCCCCCCCAAATGTCTAAACATTTTTCATAGTATAAATTACTATAAAATATTAAAATAGGTATTTATTTTACAACAATTGCCAAAATCTTGGAAATTCACAAAATATTTTTTTTTCTTGAAATATTGTTCAATGTCAATATAATAATAATTATTTATTATACCATAATTATATTAATACCTAATCGTCATCAGTGCGCGTCGGCTAACCGTCGCGACGGATTGTTATCGCATTATCGCAATGACAAAAATAGAAATTTCCAACAGTCAGACTTTGATAAACATTATTAATGTTCCGATTGGCCCAAACTCCGATTGCCGTGATGACCGTTTCGTTTTTCGTATAGCGTCACTAGCGTTGTTTACTGTACAGTTACAAATACAGTACACAGAATTTACACAAAGTAACGTACAGACAACTGAAGATTTCTATAGAATAAATGCTTACTATGTAATTCTTGACACACTAATTACAAAGTTAAAAGAAAGATTTTCGAATGATAGTTTACAAATGGGCGTATCTGTTGATAATTTTTTTCAACTAAAATTTGAAGAAAGTCAATTTTTTATAGATCATTATCAAGTAAATCTTCAGTTTTTAGTTTTATTATAAAAGTCATAAGTACCTACAATAGTATATTTTAACTGTTTTCAGGGGTTATTGGATTTATCAAAAATTAATATTCAGTCAGAGATGACCGTGGCAAAAAACAGCATCTTGCAATCAGGAAATGAAATAAATTATGAAACAATAAAATAAAATATCTCTAAAACAGTGTTTCCTAACATATACAAACTATTACAGGTGGCCATAACAATACCAATCAGTTCGGCTACATGTGAACGAAGCTTTTCTGCAATGCGCAAAGTTAAATGGCTACGCACGAGTATGCTGCAAGAAAAATTTAATAACTCTTCAATATTATATATTGAAAAAGATATCAATACTGATATTGAGAACGTTATTGATATATTTGCAAATAAAAATAGATTTATTGTATTAAAATAATAAAATATTTATTGTATAATAAATGATTTCTAAAATGCATAATATATAAAGTAATATATTTAGTAGTTTTGAAATTCAATAATTTAATAGGTATTGAAGAGTGAAGGTAATATTAATATTAGAGTGGGGGTGTGGGGGCAAAGCCCCCACGGTTTATTTTGCAAAGAAACATTTAAGCCCCCCCCTAAAATTCAATCAAATCTCCGCCTATGACCATGCATGTACTTTTAACATTATTTAGGACCGTTCTGTTAGTACAGGGGAAATTATGCGAGTTTATAATTATTGTTAACTATCAAATATAAAACCATTCAGTTACTTTTTTAATTTTCAATAAAAAAAATTTAAATAACCTGTTAATAAAATAAAACATAAATTTTCCTTTTTACATGTTGAACTCATTAATTTACAACAATTTTAAATAAAAATATAAATAAAAAAAAGACTTTAATCTAAATTATGATTTAGGAACAACAACTTTTCAACTTTGTCAATCGTGAGTCTTGACCATCTCTCCGTCAACACCATGCCAGCCTTAGAGAAAATGCGCTCGCATGGAACTGATGTGGCTACAATGCATAACCTACGACAAACTAATTGGTATAGTTTTGGATAAATTAACTTACGTTCATTCCACCAAACTAATGGATCTTCCGTTCTTTTTAATAAAGGTTCAGCAATGTATCGATCCAATTCTAATATACCAGCTACTGTCACATTCGAACCACCACTTACTGCAATAACTCTGGTATCAAAATCCTTCCAAATAGTCTCTGGTCCAAAAAGTGGACCAATACCTAATGTTGCTTCTGGTTCTTGAGCGTCTTGTCCGATAGGTACGATTTGCACTTTCCTTGATAAAGATTGATATGCCGATTGGTATTTTTGATCATTTGGAAATCCTTGTTTTTTGAAACGTGGATCTAATAATATTGATTGCATCACAACTTCATTATTTTTAAGCTGGTCAGATCTTGAATGCAATTTATCTTTAAGAATTTTTGCCACTGAACAAATTTCAGTTGGCATTATACTGTTATTAGTGAACCCTGATACATAGTTGACCATCGCCCTTGAAAATATTGTTACTTTAGATATAGATATATAATTTTCTGAGCTTATTTCATTAGTTACATCATAAAATATTTGACATAGCACTTTCAATACATTCCACTCATCAAATGTGATAGTATTTAGATCATTATTAATAATGGCTAATGTGGATAACACTGGATCCTTTATTTTCAAAATTCTATCAACCATGTCATATGTAGAATTCCACTTGGTAGAACAGTCTTGCTTCAACTTTAAAACAGAATAACTACCTTGTGTCTGAATTTCATTTAGACGAGACAATGCGTAAGTACTGCGTTTGAAGTATTCGACAATGGCCTTTACTTTATTTAATATTAATTTCACTGTCTCTAGCCCAGATTGCACTATCAAATTGATGCTATGAGCAAAACATGGAAAATGCCTCCACTGGCATAATCGAATAGCTGCAACTATATTAGCAGCATTATCACTGACAATCAGTGATTTTATTGTCTAATCCCCATTTATTCACCTGCTCTTTAAGGGGAGAAGACATTTCAACAGCTGTGTGTTTGGCTGTGAAATGTTGACAACCAATCAGAATTGATGACATTTTCGTATCATCATCGATATAATGTGCAGTAACAGCTACGTAATATTCATTATTAATTGAAGTCCAAGCGTCAGTTGTCAAGCAAACTGCTGTTACATTTTTTAATTTATTTTTAATATTATCAACAGTACTTTCATATAACTGAGGCAAAAGGCTATTGGAAACTGATTTTCTACTGGGAAGAACATAACCCGGTGCCAACATCTGTATTAAATTTTTAAATTCTTTTTCTTCGACGAGACTAAAAGGATGGTAATGTTTAATGATTAATTTTGCTATTTGAGAATCTATTTTTTTTGGTTTTTGTACATAGGAATTTATGGAAGTCTGAACGGGTCTAATATTGGTTGGTGTTACTGATGTCAAAATTTGTGTGGAAGTATTTGATGCTGGCATTCCCGAAGTAGATGGTTCATCTATATTATGTTCCTCAATATGCTCAGTCATGGTATTTGAACTATTTGAAGAATGATGGCGCGCCCGCTGAAAAGTTAAGAAAACACAAGTCTATAAATTATAATAGTAATCATAGGTAGTATATTATATTAGTAAAATATTAAATAATTGAATAATCTAATGCCGTGATAATTATCATGGTTTATGATAACAACCATGGCGTTTTACTACAAACAGTACAAGCTACAATCTACAACATTATATTATAATCAATCTCTGTCATTGATTGACTGATTCATATTTCATAAGAAAATTGATTCACCTAATGATAAGAACGATATTTGATACTAGACCGAAATGACCGAAATGACTGATATGACCGAATCATATGACCGAATCACTTGACTGATTCGATTCAAATGATTCGAATCATTCAAACGACCGAAAATTCCCACCTCTACTGACGACGTGTCACGACTGTGCGCTCAAAGAACCAATTATTATTATCGTGTTGTGATTATCAACCGCGCGCACGATAAGAGTCAATAGCATTCGATAACGCGTAATGTCACTGCCAGTGTGAGTATTTTGGTCTATTTTGATTGCGCGAACAGGCATAAAATGTAAACGTACGGTAACTACAATTTCAAAAACCAACCGTGACAGTCCACTTCAAAAATAAAATTAATACCTATATCGACTGAAAACGTCGTTTTAATCGTACGTACAATTATTTTTTCGCTTGGTGCGCCTGTTCAATATAACACTAATACGTCGAGAACGTGCTCCACTTCCACTGTAGACGTTGCAGAGATAACTAAAAAAAAAAAGAAATACGGTCCATACATATACACAGGAACTATAGTAACTATAGTAACTATACTGAAATAACTCAGTTATTATGTTTCTACCATAGACCTTATAAGAGTATAAGGTGTATATATGGTATATATGGTTTCTACAAACAAAACTAAGATAAGTTGAGTGAAAAGTGGGAAAAAAATGCAGAAAGAAAGTGTCTGATATCGTGTTACGAACTCGAGTCGCTGTCTTTGAAATTTTACAAAAGTGCCACTGCGCAAGAGAAATCTATGCACGAGGTGATAATTTTATGCTATTTAAGTATATTCGGATATATGGAACAAATAATTTTTTAATATTTTAATTTTATTAATTAAGTTAGACGAATAAATTGTATATTAAAACCTTCCCTGAATCTAGACCTATTGATTAGTGAAAACTGTACTAAAATCAGTTGGGTACTTTTTGAGTTATGCGCGTACATTAGTATAGTATAGAATAGATATAGATAGATATAGATAGATATAGATAGATATAGAATAGATAGATATAGATAGATATAGAAGATATAGATAGATAGATATAGATTATATTATACTTGTAATCAATGAGTATACAATAAATAAAATGACTTATTTAAATACACATAACCATATCACTATACTTACTATATATAGTTTTAACTGTTATATATATATATACTAGCCGACCTGTCACAGCTTCGCCCGTGATTGGTTGTTTATTTTGCCTTCGGACCATAATATGTAGAATTTTTTATTTAAATATTATTGTTCAATGTGATTGGCAAGTAAATATAAATAAACGGTTAATGAAAACGGATTAAAATTTTTCTAGCGTTATAAATGATAAAAATAAATACAGATAAAAAAGAAATAATTTATGGTTGATAAAGAATTTGATTGAAGTTGATGAAGAAAAAAAGAATTAAAATAAGAATTTTATAAGACTTCTGAGTATATGATGTTTTTTGTCCTGTTGAAATTAAAATCATAAGATGATTCGGGTCCCCAGTTTGAGAAAATGCCACGTATAATTGTGAAAAGCCATGTGTGAAAAGCCCATGTGAAAAGCACTCTGTACGAAGATCTACGCCAACGTACTTGAATGTTTGACCTTGCGCTTTGTTTATGGTAATGGCAAAAGAAACTTTAACCGGGAATTGAAGCCGTTTGAAAGAAAACGGCAAGTCAGAGGGAATCATGGGAATTCTTGGAATAAATGCAATTTCTCCTTTCGCTGTCCCTGTAAGAATTACGGCTTCTATAATATTATTTCACAACAATTTTATTTGTAATCTTGTACCGTTACATAAGTTCGGTGGTTGAAGATTACGTAATAATGTAATTGGAGCACCAATTTTTAATTTTAGCTTATGAGGAGGAAATCCCGAAGGAGAAAGAGAATTGAGAAATTCTTGTGGATAATGAATAGCATCATCTGTTGATGTAACTGTATCAATAGATAGATATTCACGTGAGTGTTCATCGAATTTTAGAAGGAAGATATCATTAATTTCTCCTGCTGTTACATTTCTCGGAGAGATAATAGCTCTTTCACATAACCACCGATAAGATTTATTGGACAGTTTAAAAATGTCAGGATAAACTATAGAAATCAACTCTTCCACGTTATTGACCACCCGTCCAATCGTGTGATTAACAGAAATGTAACCATTTTCATTTTCTAAAGTTCCATTTCCAATTTTCAACAACTGTGCTGGAAAATATCGTCCCCTCCGCATAAATAAACTCTCATGTTTGTTCGCAAATAAAGTTTTCTACATAGTTCCATATAGGGGAAGATTTTAAACACGCATTAACGACATCAGCTCGATTACCTTTAGGGATAATTGGTAAGGTTTGACGGAAATCACCAGCGAAAACAAATGTTATGCCACCCATAAACTTATTAATATACCTGAGGATCTAATTTGAGCCAACAACAAATTGATTACGAATGTTTTTCCTGTACCACCCGGAGCATCTAATAAAAAACTCTTCCTTGATGATTCATTACGCTTTCTGTAATAACATTAAAAGCATATTTTTGATCATTTACTAATTTTCGTAAATTGATTTCTACAAATTCTTGTAATCGGTTATTATCGTAAGAACGCAAAATTGAGAATTCAAAAGGATCAGATGCATTTTCATTTCGAACAGGTGAGTTCATTCCAAATTCAGTTAAATATTTTTCAGACAGACAAACAACTTTATCTTCTATTTCAATCAAACTTCTATTAAATATTTCATCAGAAAAAGTAAATTGCAAGTCATTTAATCGAGTGCGCTCTGTATGAAGAATATCTTCACAAAATTCATTTCTGAACTGTTCCCACAAAAATTGAGGTTCAGACGGTTGGCAGAAAACTATGATTATTGCGAATAATTCTCTTAATTTTGAAGGACTTTCTGAAAGAGTTGCCTCCGCTAGAGAATTTTTCCATTGCTCATCATTTTCTGAAAGCTCAAGAGCAAAACAAGTAGCTTTAAAAGTCGCGTGAATGACTCCATCAAAGGCCTTCAAGCTTTCAAATGAAGTAGGACCTTGTAAATAATTTAGTAACAATCTTTAATGGAAGCACTCACTTTGATTTAGGTGAATCGTGTAAATTCTACCAATGGTAGTGTCCATTTTTATTCCTGGCCAACCTGGAACATCTTTTCCCTGTCTTCTCTTTAACCAGCCTTTGCTATTATCCCAGGTATAATAAGAAGGAACTTCATGATAGAACAGTGTTTTCGCAAAATCATCATGTGAACACAGTTAAAAAAATGCAGTTAGTGTCGTTTTTCTTGGATTTTCAATAACTTGATGAAGATTATTAGCATTAAAGAAAACATGCTGTCCATTTTCTAGATGAACAGTCAAGTGCTGAACTGTCGGATCTCTATCATGGATTTCAAAATTGAAAATTCACCAGAACGCTTCAGAAGTATATATATAAGTATATATATATTAATATATATATATTATATTGACCTCTGTGTTCATCTTGAGGAACTCTGTCAGCGTGAATAAATAACTTAAAGTTTTTCAACTCATCAAAAGACCTCGACTCCAGATTAAATCTGAAGCTCTGTATGAGGTGATTATTTTCACGCAAAACTGTTTGCAATGATTCAATGAGACCTCTTTATAATTTGGAATCATATTTGTTCGAATAGATATTTGATCCGACTCTGACATAAAATATATTTGTAAACATTTAGCATTATTTCTAATTTTGGGTAATAAACTACCTATTAAATGATGCACTTGACTCTGAATTTTAAAAAAGGGCATGAAGTTCCCTTCAGCTATTTTGTTTGCTCCAAACGATGTCATTTGAAACAGAGTATTATACCGTCTAGAATTATCAAAGAAATGTTTTGATTGAGGGTAAGAATTATCAATTAAACTTTTAATTAGGTCTGGAAGATCCTCAAATTGGTGTAAAACAACTTTACCGTCAGCGCAGCAAAGTCCGTGGGTTTCATTTTTCCATTTTTTTGCTTGACACTTAGGACATAATATAGTCATTCGTCTAATTTGAAGCGCTTTAATATTTCAATAATCAATCTCGGATTGATAATTAAACGAAGATTTCATACTCAAAGCGTTACGTTTCTCCTGTGCAAGTGTTTGAGAACGTTCTGGTGTGTTATTTTGTTGCTTTCTGTTATACATTCGAGTTGCATTGGCAGTTCTTCTGCCATTGCGTGCTCTTTGCGCTCTCGGCATGATAATGAATTGGCTACTTACCCGCAGTAGGTATTGCGTATTATATTAGCGATTAACAATGTAGGTATAAAAATAGATAAAATACTATTTGCGGAAAAACGCGTTCGGCGTCAGGCGGATCGTAACACTATTAAATAATAGTGTTGATAAATACTATTTATAATCGATGGTAACACGTTTGCTGGCAAGAATATTATTACATAAGAGTATTTTTCGATAACGCAAAACGTGATCGGTATTTTCCATACACTTTTTATAATATTAAAACTATTATTAATTTCGGCAAATGTTTTTGGACGCGCGTGTACTATTGATGAATGTCAATTAAATCATTTGATGACCTGTTAGATATCAAACACTATACAAAGGTCAAGTTGCAGGTAGCTGTAAACCCGCGGCCCGCTTACAAAGCCGCTAACACGCGACTCTTCTACAATTGATTTTAATTTTTTATGAACTTTTTTACTGACAAAAGTGGTACTAAAACCTTCAGCAGAGTGTCGGGTTTCAGCAAAAAAAAAATTTCAGCCAAATCGGTTCAGTAGTTTTCTCGGTTAGCGCGTTCTAAGAAAAACCCTTACAATTTTATATATATAGTATAGATAGATAGATAGATATATATATATATTAATTAAAATATATAAAATAAATGTTTATGTACTGATATACTGTAGTAGGATTTTTTTTCCAAGTTTGGTTACTAACCTTAGTGCAATTGATTGAAAAGCCTGAATTGGCCTGATGTTTGAGGGATTTGCTGGACCCCAGATTGCTATTCCATAAGACCAGACTGGTCTTATGATTGACTTATATGTAATAAATTTGTTTTTGAGTGTTATTTTGGAGTTTAGGAGTGGTCGGAGGAGGTGAAGTCTGTTGTTCGATGATTTTCTTTTTTGGAGGGGGGGGTCCCAAGTTAGTCTTTTATCAAGCATTATGCCTAAGTACTTAATTTTGGTTTGGATAGGGATGGGGGCGTTGTTCATAATTAATTGAGGGCACTCACAGGGAGAATGTTTTAACGTGAAAGTAACTTGTACAGACTTTTCCGTATTAATTTTTATTTTCCATTTTTTGGCCCATTCTTCAATTTTATTAGCATGATCCTGGAGTTCAGCTGAAGCTAAGATAGGATTTGGACTGGAGGAAAGAATAGCTATGTCATCAGTGTATGTTGCTAGAAGGGTGTTACTAGATTGAGGGATGTCTGCTGTGAATACATTATATAGATCAGGGGATAGATCACTACCCTGTGGAACTCTAGCATATATTGGGTGGGTAGATGAAATATCGTTCCCCTGTCGTACGACAAACGAACGATTTTGTAGGTAAGATAGTAGGGATTAGTAATTTGATAATAAGATAGTAGGGAGCTGGCATGAAAAGTTTTAATTTGTATAGTAAGCCATCGTGCCAGACTTTATCGAATGCTTGAGCAATATCTAAAAAAAGTCCAGAACAGTATTCTTTATTTTCGAGAGCAGTTGAGATTTCATCAGTAAGACGATGAACTTGATGGATTGATGAGTGCCTGTTTCGAAAACCAAACTGATTATTCGGTATGATATGGTTGTTTTGAAGGATGAGACGTAATCTTTTCAGGAGGGCCTTTTCGAAAAGTTTACCAAGGACTGGAAGTAAACTTATGGGACGGTATGACGAAGGTGTTAGGTTTATATGGTTTTTGTACAAGTATAATGACTGCAAATTTCCAGATTTTAGAGAAGTGGGAAAATCTTAGCATAGAATTTTATATGTGGGTGAGCAATGATATAGTTTTGAGAGACAGATTTTTCAGAATTTTGTTTGTAATGAGGTCATTTCCAGGTGCTTTGCCGGGAGGTAATTTTTTAATTATATACTGAATTTCACCAGGAAAGATGGGTTTTGCAGGTAGCGACATAGGTAGCGAAGCTGATAGAAATTGTTGAATTTCAATAATTGAGTCGTTTTCGGGATCGATGCACGAATGAGGCTGGAATGTTTCAGCTAATTGAGAATACACAGATACAGAGAATGTACAGAATATACGTTGCAATTAAAAATGTAAATGTTGAGGTGTTTTTAAATCATATTATCTATACTTCATACGTACCGAAAAAAGTGAATTGAGTAATTACTTTTAAAGCGATTTGAACAACCATATGTAACATAAGAAACAGGTATATTTAATAAATATTAGTTACTAAATAGTGTGTAATTTATATTGTGATGTGTGGGGAATAGTGTTGATACAATATTTTGCCAACCCAAAACATGGCGGACAAATGATAACATAATCAATGCGTGCTTCAAGTGATATTGGAAGTTCATCATCTAGTATAATATAGATATCTGTGATTCTAGACAAGGTTTATAGATAACCTTATTATCTATAAACTTTTTCCTATGGTGGGGGAGGGGGCAAAAAATTAATTACCATAACCTACAAAAATGGACTTACATAACCCAATTCTCCTAAAATAAAATTTCAACCTTTATTTAATTTTTTTTTTGAGTGCATTTTTACCAATTTTGACTTCAGTAAAAAAGTTTTTTGACTTAATTTACTAAAATAAAGTATAATAATTTTAAAATATAACCTAAAATATTAGAAGATATTTCAAACTAATACTAACGTTTACAGCGTTTATTTATCTATACTTACTATTTAACTGATATCCTCTAATTAGTGACTGGCATTGTAGATAGTGCTAGTTAAGAAATTACTAATTATGTTTTCTAGATTAATTAATTTTGTTAACAATTATTATCATTTTATCAACATTCGATTATTCAATTAACATGAATATAATTCTTATATTCTCAGATTCAAATTTAATTTAGAATTCCAAAAATTTTTTTATTGTTGTACATCAGAAATTAAAATTACAGAGGGAATATCATTAATTATTTTAAATTAAATTCAATTTTTCGGCGTTCATCAATGAAATATTGAAATAATAGGTTTTTTCGTTAACTTTTTTTTTGAGGGTGTAAAAGTATACATTTGCCACCCCAAAAATTGTTTGAGGGGCATTTCCCCCCTTATGACCCCCCCAAGTGCCGTATATGGTACTGACAACAGTTATAGGTAGATAACAGTAACCATAGTAATGGCTATAATGTATATAATTGGATACCTATAGACACATAGAAATAAGTTTAGAAATACACAATAGGTATAGATATTCCATAGAACAGTGCTTCCCAAACTGTTTCGACTCACATCGCCATTTTTGATCTGAGGTTTTTCAGGGTGCCCTTCCCCAAGTTATAGAATGATTAATCATGAGGATTATTTTAAATCAGATAGTATTTTTCTTTGGGGGGAAGAAATTTAAAATCGAATCAATACTCAGATGCTTGCCCATTACCTAAAGAATGAGCAGTGCATAATTGTACAATTGATTGATTCCTCTGAATAAGGACCTATGTCAGATTTCTCAACTTTTCAGGAGCACTGAAAAACAATGTTTAACTTAATATTATTAATTACAATGTCTTTTAGAGTTACGTAGGCTCTTCTTCCATTGTAAAACTTGAAAATAAAAACCTGTTGTTACACATGTAGGTGTATCATGTTTGTTTATTGAATAAGAAAAGAAATAATTTCAGATATTATATGTTATAACATATTTTGGTTATAATAGGTATAATTAAATGATTAAGTACGAATGATAACAAAAAAATGACGCCGCGTCTATATGACATACCTAGGCCCTTTTACTTCTGAAAGTAAAATACGTCATTTCTGTACATATAGGCGATTCTTGTGGCTTCTTGTGGTTTCTTTTAGTACTAAAAATCATAGAAACTCATTCTACATATGATATATACACATTGTTCCATAAAAAAAATTTTTGACAAAATCCGACATAGGCCCTTATACAGCGGAACTATTCAATTGTCAAGAAAAGTAACAACTGTCTAACAAGTTGGAGGAGGTTTTTTGGATTAATTGCGCTATTACAAGTTAAGTTAGGTTTTATCTTTCTTCTTAAAAACAATGGGCTCAGACAGAGCCACGAGGACCCTACTTACCAGAACCTGCAAGGGCCCCAGTACCACGCTATTGGATTCAGTGATCATGCAAATATTACATACATAAATACGTATAATGTATATGAGTACAATGGTTGACATATTATTACTATAATAACTTTATTATACTATATATATTGGGTCTTGTTTTTGACTATTTATAGTATTAAAGCAAAACTTAGTTTATTTTCCCAGGAAATTGCTTATTGACGACGTCGACAAACAATGTATCATTATATTATTCTACCTATTCAGTGGTATAAGGTATTAACTATTTTCGAATATCATATTACTGTAAACGTTGAGTAACAGTAAAACACCAATAAGGCCGGCTCAAGGTATAGGCGAGCTAGGCACCTGCCTAGAGGGGCACTTTAGTAGGGGCGGCATTTTCAAAATTGAATCGAACATTTTTTTAGTTCTATTGGTGTTCTATAAGAAAAATATTTAAATTAATTCATTCGTGAAAGACACTTACCTATATAATAAAATAATATTGTCTAAAGTTATTATATTACTTTATATTACGGCCTACGCTTGGCGTTTTCAATTATTCAAAAAATATAAATAACCATATATCCGATAGTCGCGGTAGTGATGAGTTTTGAGCAATAGTAATAGAAATAATTTTTAAGTCTTTTTACATATAATTTTATCCATAAAATAAAATTTTTTTTAAGGTAGATATGTCACATAAAAAATAGGGAGGTGACAAAATTTGATTTTGCCTAGTGTACTATTTTTGCTTGGGCCGGTCCTGAACACCAATGTCTATTATTATTTATATTATAATAAAATGAGTAATAAAATAATATTATTTTTTTTTTAACTGTGGATGTGTGTCAATTGTGTGATAGTGTAAATTTAATATATTACTAAAGTACATATTAAATTATTAAATTAAAAATGAAAAGACAGTCGAATGCCTTTAATTCATTTTTTTCAAAAAAAAGTTAAAAAAACAGCTTGTCAAAATA